TCTGACGCAGTCATCAGTAAAATATAACACATAATACCGTTATTTAACCCAAAGAAATATATCCTAGCATTGTGTAATTTTAGTTACAGTTTTTGCTCTATAAATTAATTAAGATTACCGTGCGTATCTGTCTCGTACACAAAGCCGAAATAGCAATCAGCTGTGCACACGTTTCCCCGCGAACAAGTTCAAACATGCACAATAATATAACGGGATGAATTCTATTGATTGAATACTATTATTTAACCCCAAAAATATATCCTAGCATTGTGTAATAGTTTTTATGTAAAAAATATATAATCAACACTTAGGTTATACGGACCATCATGAACGTGGTAAGCACATTGACATGGAACGAAGCGTAATCAGTTTGTGATTGTTGAATGGGGTAAAATAAGCAAGCCAGTTTGTTGCTACAATAAATATGATATTTAGAGAAGCAAAATATATTATGCATTTTCTGTCAACTACACTTCGTTTCGATCCGTGAGTAGACACAATATATATGACAGTGAATTCTTTGAATAATGTGGATCGACAGTGACACGGAATTTGATGGGTTTACGGCCGATGACTTGTGAAAATCTCAGAACTCTCTTGCAGAAATGTCAGTGTTTATTGTTAGTGGACTATTTTTCTTATTGTCATATATATATAGATGAAATATGGACACTTAAATAATATATTTTGAAACAAAAGTTGACTTCAGTTTTTATTTACCGATGGTACTTTTTCACAAAATGGCGTCTCGTTGTTGATGCAAGCAGTGATCTTCGGGATATAAAAAGGAACACAAACACATGTTGCCACAATACACCGGTAATCTTTATTATGTAATATTCTCACCAACACTTACGCTGTATATCCACTTTCCAAATGGCGTCTCGTTGTTGATGCAAGCAGTGATCGTTAAAAAAAGGTAAACAAACACCGGTAATCTTTATTATGTAATATTCTCGTAATGGTGTCTCGTCGTTGATGGAACATACTTACCGGGTACTCTGGTCTCTGTTGGCCGCAACCCATCGCGGGGGGTCGGCCTATCCATGAGAGATATGATTTTGACACTGATTTTGAGGGTCAAGTTTGGGGGTCGGCTTATCCATGGTATCGGCTTATAGACGGTCATATACGGTATGTTTAGTTATACCACAGAGTTGTATATTGTTATGTACAGGTGTACAGTAGACATATGGTGCTGAGAGGGGAGGCATATATCTAGTTATACCATAGAGTTGTATATTGATATGTATAGGTGTACAGTATACATATTTGACTGAGAGGAGATGCATATGTTTAGTTATACCACAGAGTTGTATATTGTTATGTACAGGTGTACAGTAGACATATGGTGCTGAGAGGGGAGGCATATATCTAGTTATACCACAGAGTTGTATATTGTTATGTACAGGTGTACAGTATACATATTTGACTGAGAGGAGATGCATATGTTTAGTTATACCACAGAGTTGTATATTGTTTAATGTACAGGTGTACAGTAGACATATGGGGCTGAGAGGGGAGGCATATATCTAGTTATACCACAGAGTTGTATATTGTTATGTACAGGTGTACAGTATACATATTTGACTGAGAGGAGATGCATATGTTTAGTTATACCACAGAGTTGTATATTGTTATGTACAGGTGTACAGTAGACATATGGTGCTGAGAGGGGAGGCATACATCTAGTTATACCACAGAGTTGTATATTGTTATGTACAGGTGTACAGTATACATATTTGACTGAGAGGAGATGCATATGTTTAGTTATACCACAGAGTTGTATATTGTTATGTACAGGTGTACAGTAGACATATGGTGCTGAGGGGGGAGGCATATATCTAGTTATACCACAGAGTTGTATTTTGTTACGTACAGGTGTACATTTGACATATTGGGCTGAGAGGGGAGGCATATATCTGGTTATACCGCAGAGTTGTATATTGATATGTATAGGTCCACAGTATACATATGGAGCTGAGAGGGGAGGCATATATCTAGTTATACCACAGAGATTTATATTGTTATGTACAGGTGTACAGTAGACATATGGAGCTGAGAGGGGAGGCATATATCTGGTTATACCGCAGAGTTGTATATTGATATGTATAGGTGTACAGTATACATATGGGGCTGAGAGGGGAGGCATATATCTAGTTATACCACAGAGATTTATATTGTTATGTACAGGTGTACAGTAGACATATGGAGCTGAGAGGGGAGGCATATATCTAGTTATACCACAGAGTTGTATATTGATATGTATAGGTGTACAGTATACATATGGAGCTGAGAGGGGAGGCATATATCTAGTTTTACCACAGAGTTGTATATTGTTATGTATAGGTGTACAGTATACATATGGAGCTGAGAGGGGAGGCATACATCTGGTTATACCATAGAGTTGTATATTGATATGTACAGGTGTACAGTATACATATGGAGCTGAGAGGGGAGGCATATATCTAGTTATACCACAGAGTTGTATATTGTTATGTATAGGTGTACAGTATACATATGGAGCTGAGAGGGGAGGCATATATCTGGTTATGCCATAGAGTTGTATATTGATATGTATAGGTGTACAGTATACATATGGGGCTGTGAGGGGAGGCATACATCTAGCTATACCACAGAGTTGTCTATTGTTACGTACAGGTGTACAGTATACATATGGAGCTGAGAGGGGAGGCATATATCTGGTTATATCATAGAGTTGTATATTGTTGCGTACAGGTGTACAGTATACATATGGGGCTGAGAGGGGAGGCATATATCTAGTTATACCACAGAGTTGTATATTGTTACATACAGGTGTACAGTATACATATGGAGCTGAGAGGGGAGGCATATATCTGGTTATACCATAGAGTTGTATATTGTTACGTACAGGTGTACAGTATACATATGGAGCTGAGAGGGGAGGCATATATCTAGTTATACCACAGAGGTTTATATTGTTACGCTCATTACAGGTGAACAGTAGACATATGGAGCTGAGAGGGGAGGCATATATCTGGTTATACCACAGAGTTGTATATTGATATGTGTAGGTGTACAGTAGACATATGGAGCTGAGAGGGGAGGCATATATCTGGTTATACCGCAGAGTTGTATATTGATATGTATAGGTGTACAGTATACATATGGGGCTGAGAGGGGAGGCATATATCTAGTTATACCACAGAGGTTTATATTGTTATGTACAGGTGTACAGTAGACATATGGATCTGGGAGGGGAGGGATATATCTAGTTATACCACAGAGTTGTATATTGATATGTATAGGTGTACAGTATACATATGGAGCTGAGAGGGGAGGCATATATCTAGTTTTACCACAGAGTTGTATATTGTTATGTATAGGTGTACAGTATACATATGGAGCTGAGAGGGGAGGCATATATCTAGTTATACCACAGAGTTGTATGTTGATATGTATAGGTGTACAGTATACATATGGAGCTGAGAGGGGAGGCATATATCTAGTTATACCACAGAGTTGTATATTGATATGTACAGGTGTACAGTATACATATGGTGCTGAGAGGGAAGGCATATATCTAGTCATACCACAGAGTTGTATATTGTTATGTACAGGTGTACAGTATACATATGGAGCTGAGAGGGGAGGCATATGTTTAGTTATACCACAGAGTTGTATATTGTTATGTACAGGTGTACAGTAGACTTATGGAGCTGAGAGGGAGCATATATCTAGTTATACCACAGAGTTGTATATTGATATGTACAGGTGTACAGTATACATATGGAGCTGAGAGGAAAGGTATACATCTAGTTATACCACAGAGTTGTATATTGTTACGTACAGGTGTACAGTATACATATGGAGCTGAGAGGGGAGGCATATATCTAGTTATACCACAGAGGTTTATATTGTTACGTACAGGTGAACAGTAGACATATGGAGCTGAGAGGGGAGGCATATATCTGGTTATACCACAGAGTTGTATATTGATATGTGTAGGTGTACAGTAGACATATGGAGCTGAGAGGGGAGGCATATATCTGGTTATACCGCAGAGTTGTATATTGATATGTATAGGTGTACAGTATACATATGGGGCTGAGAGGGGAGGCATATATCTAGTTATACCACAGAGGTTTATATTGTTATGTACAGGTGTACAGTAGACATATGGATCTGGGAGGGAGGGATATATCTAGTTATACCACAGAGTTGTATATTGATATGTATAGGTGTACAGTATACATATGGAGCTGAGAGGGAGGCATATATCTAGTTTTACCACAGAGTTGTATATTGTTATGTATAGGTGTACAGTATACATATGGAGCTGAGAGGGAGGCATATATCTAGTTATACCACAGAGTTGTATGTTGATATGTATAGGTGTACAGTATACATATGGAGCTGAGAGGGGAGGCATATATCTAGTTATACCACAGAGTTGTATATTGATATGTACAGGTGTACAGTATACATATGGTGCTGAGAGGGAAGGCATATATCTAGTCATACCACAGAGTTGTATATTGTTATGTACAGGTGTACAGTATACATATGGAGCTGAGAGGGGAGGCATATGTTTAGTTATACCACAGAGTTGTATATTGTTATGTACAGGTGTACAGTAGACTTATGGAGCTGAGAGGGGAGCATATATCTAGTTATACCACAGAGTTGTATATTGATATGTACAGGTGTACAGTATACATATGGAGCTGAGAGGAAAGGTATACATCTAGTTATACCACAGAGTTGTATATTGTTACATACAGGTGTACAGTATACATATGGAGCTGAGAGGGGAGGCATATATCTAGTTATACCACAGAGTTGTATATTGTTATGTATAGGTGTACAGTAGACATATGGGGCTGAGAGGGGAGGCATATATCTAGTTATACCTCAGAGTTGTATATTGTTACATACAGGTGTACAGTTTACATATGGAGCTGAGAGTGGAGGCATATATCTAGTTATACCACAGAGATGTTTATTGTGATGTACAGGTGTACAGTATGCAGAAACAACCGAGAGGCCTGGTACTGATTATCAGCAATGAAGACTTCTCACAAGCCCGGAAGAATGAGGAAGCGAAAAACCTTGAGGACCGGAAAGGATCAGAAACTGATGCCACATCTTTGGATGTGTTATTTCAACAGTTGCATTTCAAAACTGTCATTCATAAGAATCAAACAAAAGAAGTAAGTGCGTACATTTAACACAGAATCCTATATAACCAAGTCTGGATAATGCAACAAGATAATGCAACAAGATAATGCTTGCCGCAATGGCTGTCTCTGACGTGTGTGTTATGTTTGTGTCATGGGTTTGATCTCACTTCACCCTTACTGTTTTTGTATTTGTTGGTACCATACCTGTGCAAGTTGGTTAACAAAAGTGATGAACGATGATGATATGTATCACTTGTGACACTCTGTGATGTACTGAAATACTGATGTTCCTGAAAGGTGTTTAGAAGTTGGAAGAACATAAATACATGACATGTTTTTATGGATAAAAACTTCTTTATATTCTTTATCATCATAGACACCTGATGAAGGAACAAGAAGTATGTCTGAAAGAACTTGATCAAGAATAAACAGAGTGAGTGAGTTTAGAGTTACGCTGCACTCAGCAATATTCCAGCTACATGGCGGCGGTCTGTAAATAATCGAGTCTGGACCAGACAATCCAGTGATCAACAGCATGAGTATCGATCTGCACAATTGGGTCGGTGAGCCTAACCACCCAATCCTGTTAGTCGCCTCTTACGACAAGCATGGGTTACTGAAGATCAATATTCTAACCTGGACCTTTACATGTAAGAATAAACAGAAGTTCTTATCCCTAAAATGTATCATGTATTCAGCTGAAATCATTAATAAACGCATCTTGATCATTCCACCCCCAATGTCCATTGCCAGGATTATATTGTAGGGTATCATGAAGATAGTCCAAGACCTGCAGGAGGACTTGAAGCAGGAGCAGCAGGAGTGTTTCATCTGCTTCCTGTTGTCCCATGGCACCGGTGGGGGAGTATTTGGCGTTGATGGTAAAGTGGCAGAAGTCAAGGAAATCACCACACTCTTCGACAACGAGCACTGCAAACCCCTAGCAGGAAAACCCAAACTGTTCTTTATCCAAGCATGTCGTGGAAGTAAGTTGAAACATCAGTACGTCTTGGTTATCAGTGAATTTGTCTTATATTCATGTTTCTTCCTATTAACCGGGCAGTGGGGATAATGTGGATTAGTGGATAAAGTGTCCGCTTGTCATGCCGAAGACCCGGGTTCGATTCCCCACATCGGTACAAAGTTTGAAGTCCATTTCTGGTGTCCCCCGCCGTGATAATGCTGGAATATTGCGAAAAGTGGTATAAAACCCAACTCACTCACTCACTCTCCTACTGACACGGTACATCGGAACCAATGATTTGATTGTGTGGAGAGCTTGGATTTCTGTTTGAGACAGGATATTACCCTCAGTCACTGCTTAGAATTACCGTATTTCCTCTAACAAGCCTCTAATATATTTTTTCAACGTAACTCCAGACACGGCGCTTATTAGAGGCCCAGCGCTTATTACAGGCCCGGGGCTTATTAAAATACCCTGTATTTCTTAAAGCGGGGATGAGTACATGAAGTTATGATTTAAGGGACCATTCCTTAAAATATTTATTTTTAGACCAAGGGAGAATACATTTGCAAAAAAATGCAAAGGTTTATACCCAGCGCTTATTAGAGGCCCGCCGCTTGTTTCTTAAAGCACTGCTATATCCCCGGTGGTTATTAGAGGCCCGGTGCTTAATAGAGGATATACGGTATGTTTTTCATATGTTTTACAAATGAACTTCCAAACTCTCGGGAGTGATGAGCAAGTGTTTTAGCCACATAATCTCCCCCCTCCTTTGCCTGTACAACTCCCCCCTCCTCTGCCTGTACAACTCCCCCTCCTCTGCATGTACAACTCCCCTCCTCTGCCTCTACAACTCCCCTCTCCTGTACAGCCCCCTCCTCTGCCTGTACAACTCCCCTCCTATGCCTGTACAACTCCCTCCTCTGCCTGTACAACTCCCCTCCTCTGCCTCTACAACTCCCCTCCTCTGCCTCTACAACTCCCCTCTCGCTGTACAGCCCCTCATCTGCATGTACAACTGCCCCTCCTCTGCCTGTACAACTCCCCCTCCTCTGCCTGTACAACTCCCCCTCCTATGCCTGTACAACTCCCCTCCTCTGCCTGTACAACTCCCCTCCTCTGCCTGTACAACTCCCCCTCCTATGCCTGTACAAAAAAAAAACCCTGCCTGTACAACTCTCCCTCCTCTGCCTGTACAACTTCCCCTCCTCTGCCTGTACAACTCCCCCTCCTCTGCCTGTACAACTCACCCTCCTTTGCCTGTACAACTCCCTGATCCCTGTGTTGCTGCAGACAAGAGTGACATGGGTGTGGTCCTGCCCCCCGACCAGCAGGAAGACCCCCAAAATGATGATGTGAGACTCCGAGAGCAGGTCAAAGACAGGGAGAGCCTGTTGAAGTCCTTTAATGGTATGGCAGTTTCCCAGCCAACTGATACTGTGCCGGACGCATGCGCTGAGATGAAGGTGCCGAAAGGAGCAGATATCTTTGTGGCCTTTGCAACAACACCAGGTACAGACAATGGACGTAATATTGTTTAAATAATCTAGACAGGTCTTGTGGTATAAATTTGTATACAAGTGATATTGTGGTATGAATGTCTATATAGGTCATATTGTGGTATGAATGTCTTTATAGGTCATATTGTGGTATGAATGTCTATATAGGTCATATTGTGGTATGAATGTCTGTATAGGTCATATTTTGGTATGAATGTCTATATAGGTCATATTGTGGTATGAATGTCTATATAGGTCATATTGTAGTATAATTGTCTATATAGGTCATATTGTGGTATAATTGTCTATATAGGTCATATTGTGGTATGAATGTCTATATAGGTCATATTGTGGTATGAATGTCTATATAGGTCATATTGTGGTATGAATGTCTGTATAGGTCATATTTTGGTATGAATGTCTATATAGGTCATATTGTGGTATGAATGTCTATATAGGTCATATTGTAGTATAATTGTCTATATAGGTCATATTGTGGTATAATTGTCTATATAGGTCATATTGTGGTATGAATGTCTATATAGGTCATATTGTGGTATGAATGTCTATATAGGTCATATTGTGGTATGAATGTCTATATAGGTCATATTGTAGTATAATTGTCTATATAGGTCATATTGTGGTATGAATGTCTATGTAGGTCATATTGTGGTATAAATGTCTATATAGGTCATATTGTGGTATGAATGTCTGTATAGGTCATATTGTGGTATGAATGTCTATATGGGTCATACTGTGGTATGAATGTCTATATAGGTCATACTGTGGTATGAATGTCTGTATAGGTCATATTGTGGTATGAATGTCTATATAGGTCATATTGTGGTATGAATGTCTATATAGGTCATTGTGGTATGAATGGCTATATAGGTCATATTGTATAAATGTCTATATAGGTCATATTGTGGTATGAATGTCTATATAGGTCATATTGTGGTATAAATGTCTATATAGGTCATATTGTGGTATGAATGTCTATATAGGTCATAGTGTGGTATGAATGTCTGTATAGGTCATATTGGGGTATGAATGTCTATATGGGTCATACTGTGGTAAGAATGTCTATATAGGTCATATTGTGGTATGAATGTCTGTATAGGTCATATTGTGGTATAAATGTCTATATAGGTCATATTGTGGTTTGAATGTCTATAAAGGTCATATTGTGGTATGAATGTCTATATAGGTCATATTGTAGTATAAATGTCTATATAGGTCATATTGTGGTATGAATGTCTATATAGGTCATATTTTGGTATGAATGTCTATATAGGTCATATTGTGGTATGAATGTCTATATAGGTCATATTGTGGTATAAATGTCTATATAGGTCATATTGTGGTATGAATGTCTATATAGGTCATTGTATGAATGTCTATATAGGTCATATTGTGGTATGGATGTCTGTATAGGTCATATTGTGGTATGAATGTCTATATAGGTCATATTGTGGTATGAATGTCTATATAGGTCATATTGTGGTATAATTGTCTATATAGGTCATATTGTGGTATAAATGTCTATATAGGTGATATTGTGGTATAAATGTGTATATAGTTCATACTGTGGTGTGAATGTTTATATAGGTCATATTGTGGTATAAATGTCTATATAGGTCATATTGTGGTATGAATGTCTATATAGGTCATACTTTGATACAAATGTCTATATAGGTCATATTGTGGTATGAATATGTATATAGCTGATATGGAGGTATGAATGTCTATATAGGTCATATTGTGGTATGAATGTCTATATAGGTCATGTTGTGGTATGAATGTCTATATAGGTCATATGATTTCATTTAAACATATTTTATTCATTGAATCTCCCAATATTTACAACAATTCTATTTACATGACTTAAATCAAAGATGCATAAAACAGAGAAACAGAGAAATATACCTGAGCGATCTTGAGTTTGAGAATGTAATAGTTTAAGATAAAGAGAGGAATATATCGTTTAGTTTGCACTGAATGTACATCTAGGTTTTATCATGGTATAAATGGCAGTTAAGTTGGGTAGATTTGTCCATTTTGGAGACATATGCTGTAAGATTATACTACTACCTTCTTGGGTGTGTATTTTGTGTCAGATCACTGAGACAGTGTGGTATTAGGTCAAATGCTTGAACGTGAGCATATGTTCAACATTCTCATGAGCCTGAGGGTGAAGAAAGCTCACTCTGTGCATGATATGACAAGACGACGGTTTCCGTAAAGTCGTATTACTGTATTAAAAATAACGTTCTTTAATCAGTTGATCAAAATTTACAGCAACTCAGCTTTAATTTAGATCATTACTGAGGTTGAACTTGTTAAATCAAAACAAATAAATTAGATATTTGGACATGAATGGCGAACACGAACTCAGCGTCACTACAGTGCCATGACAATAGTTTTAGACGATAACAATACATTTCTCATGACATAATTACCAAATATGGAATTAGAGCCAGCAGGGACCAAATACATGAAAGTCATAATGGTACATTTTAACAGTACATTGGTACACTTTCAGATTACGTGTCGTTTCGCAACACACAGCGGGGGACATGGTTTGTGCAGGCTATCACCTATATCTTCCAGCGATTCGCCTACCGGAAGGACCTGTCAGACATGATGACTAAGGTAAGGTGAAGGTCATCATCAATGGCCTCTCTTACATGTTATTCAAGTGGGGTGTATTTGTTCCTGAAACCAAATGCAAACTGTAAATGGGAAATTGGTGATCTAATTGTTTAAGCAAGGAACTATGAGCCAGCTAACAGCTGAATTATATGTAAATGGAAACTACTAGAATACTAGAACTACTTTACATAAAAACAGGTGAAAGTTTCCATTGTGATATATAAAAATGTATATCACAGCATGTTTTCAACGTGGAATTAATGTAATATGAAATTGAAGGAGGTAGGCATTTACTGGAAAAAGACTTTGAGTCATGTAAACATCATGTCTTGACAGGTGAATCTTCTGGTTACCCGTGGCAACATGATGCAGGTAACTCAGTGCGAGACAACGTTGCGGAAATCCCTCTACTTCTTCCCAGGACTCAACAAGAATGATAACGACATCCAGCCAGTGCAGGCGTCAGACTGATTTGGACATTCAAACTTGATCTCACAATTTTATCCATATAAAACATTATATTCGAAGTGATGGGTTTGGAAACATTCACTTCTTACACATTTGTTCCTTGATGCTTCATTTATTGCAGGAAATGTTTCAAGTTTAACCGTGTCTGTTTTGTTGTCAGTCTGAGCGATGTGAGCTACAGAGCCACAGCATTGATCCGTATGTTACTATTCATAGTTTACGATAGAGTAAAAACTACCATCAGTCATCATGGTGTTTAACACTGGCCAGGAATCAGTAGTTGTCTCATATCACCCAATAGATCAGTCAAACTGTATCAGTATTTCCTTTCCTTTTGAATGATATCAATATTGATTCCAGCACATGATTCGTATCATACAGTGAGGTTACACCAGTGTGTTTATTAATGTGCCAATTGTATATATACATGTTTACATACCGCTGTATATAAGGGAGTTATACCACACCTAAAATGCCTCTCGAAGAGGACACAGCTACAGTTATGGTTGGCTATTATGGTAGTTGCTTACATTGAGTTGAAAACAACACAAGCCAGATTGTTTAATATTTTGTCATTTACTTATCACTCACTGGAATCAGGATTAAGAATGTGTTATATAATGTTTATCAGAAATAGGCTGAGAGCAGGAGTATGTACCTTTCATTTGTAAATGCTCTCGTATTACTGACGAGGTGTGGGAGTATTAACTGATTGGAGACAAATGAGATGTAGTTAATTATATTCTCAGATGACATTGTACAAATTTGTGACCATTTTGCCATTTTGTTCATTCTTCATTCATTTGGCATTTGTAAGGGTGTATCTCTTGAGATGATAGACGTAATGTTGGAGACCAGTTCAAATTGTTGACATTTGTAAGGGTGTATCTCTTGAGATGATAGACGTAATGTTGGAGACCAGTTCAAATTGTTGACATTTGTAAGGGTGTATCTCTTGAGATGATAGACGTAATGTTGGAGACCAGTTCAAATTGTTGACATTTGTAAGGGTGTATCTCTTGAGATGATAGACGTAATGTTGGAGTCCAGTTCAAATTGTTGACATTTGTAAGGGTGTATCTCTTGAGATGATAGACGTAATGTTGGAGACCAGTTCAAATTGTTGACATTTGTAAGGGTGTATCTCTTGAGATGATAGACGTAATGTTGGAGTCCAGTTCAAATTGTTGACATTTGTAAGGGTGTATCTCTTGAGATGATAGACGTAATGTTGGAGTCCAGTTCAAATTGTTGATGTTAGATAAAAGTCTTAATTCTGTAAGATTAAGGGGAGGAGTGGGGCTGTTAATGGCCCTGCATGTTTTCCATCTGACAGAATCAAGTTACCTACTTTCTAAATCTTATCACTGCATGAGAAGTCTACGTCTTATTGATTCCTTCCTTCTTATTGCCGTCCAGGCCACTGAGGAGAAATATGTTATTCACCGGTGACAATTCGTGCATTCCAGCTGTGAAGGTATACTATTTCATCCCTCATTTGTCAACCCTTGTGTAAACATAACAGAATATTGTTTATGTGACAGTGAAACATATGGAAGTAGTGAAATATCTGTATCATTCTTCATGTAAGTATGCTTTTAGGTTTTTCTAGGAATTTAACATTGTAGGCGGAAGTAGAGTATTGTCTCAAAACTTAGGGAATTAATTTCTTCATCGTTTGAAGTGGTTCCTTAGAAATGAGCTTCAAACAGAATATTTGTTCCTCCTTTCAAAGAAAGAATAAGTATATCTTGCAACAGTAACTGAGAAATTATCAGTTTCTGACAAAAGTCCTGGCACCATTGACAATAATCCAGTCTACATCTAAAAGTGTTGGAGAAATGAAGTATATGAATTTTGTTGAATGTCAGAGTGAGTAACACATCTCCAATACTCCTTATAGCAACATAGACCTTGAACCATCCAAACTAGTGGTTGATAGTCCGAGCAACCACCCATCACAATCACCATGGTAATGCACAGTATCCTCCAGTTTTAATGTAGTATGTAGTTTAGTAGAACCGGTAACTTTTGACAAGAATGTGGTGTTGACAGTGGTGTAGCTACAGGATATCACAAAACATTAGTGCCTCTATTTTTAAATTGTTACAAGAATGAGTTAAAATAAAGACATACAATAGTGGTTTCTTCTTTCAGTTGTTTGTAACAGTTTCATGATGTGTGGTTTGCCATGGAGTCTCACTGTCACTATAATAAGAAACAGATAGGAGGGGGTCGTTTTAAAAGCAAAACCGAGGCGGGTGTCACAGACGATGGTTGGGGTCAGGCTGGGGATTAGAGATATCAGCTAAGATAAGATACCAGGTAATCCTTTAGGGGAATTATCCTGGGGAAGTAACAATTTACAAATAATATCCAGTCCTGTCGATATATGGTCGGGTGGTCATGCCATTTATATATTTTGAGACATTTAATACAATGCTTTTCTATGGTTATCAGGTATCATACCCTTTTACATGCCTCAACATAAACTTTATGAAAGAAAGACATGTTAATCAATAGATGAGACATATTCAACACACATGAAAAAGCACAAAATATCTTTGATATGACCCCTTGTGCCTGTAGGCAGCACATGCATTTCATGCCAGGTGGGTCGACGGTCCGTCATCATACCTGGCTGAGCGACCTAATTTGCCATCTATAGTCTCATCTATTGTTTTCAGCAGCTATTCGTATTTTAAGTTTTGCTCGATTTTACGAGTAAACATGCTTTTCTGGATATCCTCTTACGCATCCCACTGAATGCCCAGTTAGGTCGAAGTGAGTTATTTCAACACGGGTGGAAATAACTTTAAAATTGCTAGTGTACTCCGGTACAGATCGAGGCACATGTGAAATCACTTGCCCTGATAATTTTTCCACTATACTGGCCATTTTCTTAACATAACATAATTAACATTGGAAAGCCAACTGGAGGCCGGTACAGTGTGATATACGAATTTGCTTGCCCGACAGAAAAAACACTGGACTCGGACGTCGGGCAATGGGTTATTTCCACCCTTTGCGACATATGCTATTTGCAGTTGTGTAAAGTTTAGGGATACATACTAACAGGCTAAAAACTTTTTGTACTTCCGACATTACTTTAGGAAGCAGTTCACCATCAAAACTTTTCCAGGTGCAGTTTGCCACCAAAAGTTATTTCAGTGGGGTAGCGAGTCACGGTATGGCTGAAATACTGCCGATGTGACTTTGGTTTTCACTTACTCACTCACTCAGGCGGTAGTGTCCAGTCATTGTGTTGTGCAGTATTTTTTCAGTAGTTGTACCATTGAATTCTAAGACACAACTGTTTCCATGGTTCTCAAAGCTACCATCCACTCTAGAAGTAAACAACAAACAGAGCCATATTAAACACATTTATTGTTAAAAACGGAATGGTCAGCATTCTACTTTGGTTACATATATCCCAACATAACAGCAGTATCAACAAGGGTCAAATGTCCAGAGAGCCACTGCCATAAAGACCCCCTACAGCAAACTCTGTCTAAACCAGTCTCCTGCAGTAGTGTCGTCTGTCCACAGCAGGGCCCCGTTCCTCAAAGCGATCGTAGCGCTACGACTGGCGTAAGTCTATGTTAAAGTATGGGAGTTACGATCATCTTAGCGCTACGATCGCTTTGAGGAAGGGGGCCCAGGAACCTAATCCTGTCACACATTTCAACAGAATTTAGCTCAGATCATGTAACTTTACAATGACCTGTCATAGGGACCCGTGTAAATAAGTCAAACATACTGGTACATACCACTGTTACAGTTATACAGGCTTAAAATATTCGGATTCTTCTTACTAATTAAAATAGCAATATCTTCGACCAACAAAATGTCAAATAGAAGACTCTTGCTTAAACTAATAACCCCATATCCCAAGAATCCATTTAAATAACTGTTTCTACATTGTCCTATGCTACACCTTTGGCCTGGCTCTTCGGATCCTGTGCCCTCTCTCTCTTCAGCCTCTCCATTTCGTACATCATGGAGTACGTGGAATTCAGCAGATCATTTGTGGTCTTCCGGAGTCCCTCGGACCCAGCTGACCCCAGACTGGAGGACCCCAGGGACTGGGTCAAGCTGGCACCCCCTAGAGGTCGTGTGACATTGGCGGTGGACAGGTTGACTACAGAGTCCTGGTAGCCTTTCCTCCAGGAGGGGAACATGTCAGGCCGGTGGGTGGTCGCTTGGGGGAACGCCCACTCGTACGAGTTTGCTAGTCGCTCTGCCTCAGCCAGTGTCTGGAGAATAGAGGGAATGAGAGTTTAATGCTGATTTCAGCTGTACATCTTTCCATCTGTTTGACTGGCATGTTAGAAGTTGGAAGTAACAATAAAGCCTGATACTTTATGGATGACAACAGAAAATATACATTGTCAGCGTCAGAACAGAATAAAGAAGTTGTCATCAAGAAAGTATCTTGCCTATGTTGGTGCTTCTCCCCAGCTACTAAAGTCAAGGTCATTCAGGGATGGATGTGCATTAGTTAAAAACACCAGTTCAGAGATATGTGTAACAGCACACCGACCATCTCACAGACAATGGGAACACCCATTAACACTTTACTCAGTATCAAATGTTTGGATTGTTTCATCTGTTATTGCAAAAAAAATACATAAATTTTGGGTACAATGTGTGAAGCCCTTTCTGATGTCCCCCACCATGATATTGCTGGAATACTGCTAACAGCGGTGTAAAACCAAACTCACTCACTCACTCTGATAAATTTGAATACAATTTACACATGCCATGACAGGATCATTCTCTTCCCACAGAGGTTACTCCTGTCATATCTTCCTACGTAACCTCTGTTCTAATACATCCCTTTCATGGTGTGAGCGTTCAAGACTCGTGATTGGAGGCAATCAGATTTAGTTGTGCAATCAGCGACGTTTCAAAAGTGATCATTCGCAAGGCCTCGGTAATTTCTGTATGCTTCGAGAAAACTAAACCTCTTTCCCCTGCGCGATGCGCAAACGTTTCTTCTAGACAGAACATGTTATGGCGGATCAGTGGCGTCTCCATCGCCCTTGTTGACAACGGACAAGCTAGCCATTAAACGTCTTGTGTGTAATATCAACACAAGTCCCCGGCAGATGGGGGATATTTGTGGCCCCACATTTGCTTGTGTTGGTCAAGTTGAATCTAAGTCGACGTAACACGTGTTCTGATTGGATAGAAAGAAGGGAGAAAATTTGTGTTGCGATCTTTTGCCGCTATGGGATTTTACGAGAACCGGGAAATATGGTCGTATTAGAACAGAGGTTAGTAGGAAGATATGACAAGTAACCTCTGTGGGAAGAGAATGCGACAGGATATGGAAGAAACACAATGACAACCTCAGATTAACTACGGTTATGTGAAAGAAACCTTTTTTTAAGTAGCACAGTTGTGGGTCACGCAGTATAATTACCGTAGCCATCTTGGATGTAATGCCGTGTGTAGAGTCGCTGATGCCGAGGTTGGAGGCAGCTGGCAGCATTGCTGGTCGGGAGTTCTCCCACCCTAGGAGACAGTGCTGGCAACACACACAGAGTTTAACATTAACCTTGTATAGCAGCACACTAAACAATACTTCTCCCACCCTAGGAGACAGTGCTGGCAACACAGAGAGAGTTTAACATTAACCTTGTATAGCAGCACACTAAACAATACTTCTCCCACCCTAGGAGACAGTGCTGGCAACACACAGAGAGTTTAACATTAACCTTGTATAGCAGCACACTAAACAATACTTCTCCCACCCTAGGAGACAGTGCTGGCAACACACAGAGAGTTTAACATTAACCTTGTATAGCAGCACACTAAACAATACTTCTCCTACCCTAGGAGACAGTGCTGGCAGCACACAGACAGAGTTTAACATTAACCTTGTATAGCAGCACACTAAACAATACTTCTACCCTAGGAGACAGTGCTGGCAACACACAGACAGAGTTTAACATTAACCTTGTATAGCAGCACACTAAACAATACTTCTCCCACCCTAGGAGACAGTGCTGGCAACACACAGACAGAGTTTAACATTAACCTTGTATAGCAGCACACTAAACAATACTTCTCACAGACCTCAGTATCTCAGTGTGTCATTAACATTGGCAAAATTATTACCTCTGTCACAATGGTATTAGACCTTGCTTGACTCGCGGAAAGGCGAGTGTTCCTATCAATTTAAGTTGAATAGTGGTTAACAGAATACTAAACTCACGTCCATGGAATACCATTTTTATTAAACTTGTGAAAAATTTAGTATCAAGTACCAAATAAATAATAAAAATGGTATTACACCAAAATAAATTTAGTATCCTCTGATTAATAGCAGCTATAAGCATGAGTATAAGATGGCTGCCAGCAAAGACTGATGTCAATTATACAGGATTGATATCTGTTTGCTGTGCATGTTATGTGTTATGTTAAATTTAAATCTGTTGGTCGTTTGGAGAAGAATGTTGCATGATAACCTTTGTCTCCCATATTAACCCGTGTCATTTTCACCCGTTTTCATGAGAATTTCAAGTCATTCAATAAAATTTTCGGACAAAAGCGGGGTGCGCACCCCTGCACACACCCCCAATCGCATCTGGATCCGCCTATGAGACTGTAATGAAATCTGTCAGCGTCTGTCTGTCTGTCCTCCAAAACATCAACATGCACACCTCTTTGAGTGTGTTAAACGACAGGGAATCTATTCTCCCCAAGTAGATTTTGAAATGATTTGGCCCATCTCTTTTACGGTATTGCTGTTTTTCAAATTTGATTTTGGCCAAGTATTTGTGATTCAGCATTCTCTGAAGCACGTACGTCTGCTCCTAGTTCCTGGCATCACTGCCTATGTACTGCTAACAGTTAGGAATCAGATCTGATAAAGTCCCCAAATTAAACAAGACGAGTATTTTTTTCCTTCCTGCTCATGTTTTTCAATTATTTCATAGGTAAAAAAACTACAAAGTACCGGTAGGTGAATATGAAGAAAGTGAACTATTGTCTCGTCACTGAAAGCACTTTCAGCCACTCTTCACAGACAGCTGAGAAATGTTTTGAAAAATATTTATTTCAAGTCTATTTGTATACTTATTTTTATCATCAGCAAAAGATTGATGAAAAAAGGGTTCATATATAAAAATGGTTTGATCAGTGAACATGTATTGAGTCCTGGTCTGAAGCAGTTCTATTAGTGACTTGTCTTGTAAGGGTTGATGATGACTTACCTCCCTTAGTCCGCAGGAATCTGTGGGGTCAAAGCTGTTTCTGAGGTGTGGTTTGAAGCGGTAGGGGGTCTCTAGGGTGGAGCGAGGAATACTCACCCTGCAACACACAGTGTCACCATGGTCAGGAGACATCAACAACAGGGTAACATACCACATAAACACAAACATATTACACAGCTGTGTGTTTGGTAGTCAAGTTAACTTTGTTGAAAACAGATCACTAAGTTACGGTTGGTAATGATCTCTTTCTAAATGATGGAAAGTAAGACTAAAGTCTCCTCATTTGTTTGAACATTCTTCCGCTGTTTCCAAGTTTTTTACAATGTGTTTTATGTTATGATAGAAATCTGGCGTGTCAGTATTTGGCCCGTATATATTTGTTATGCTTATCAGTTCGTTTTCTAGTTTAACCTTAAGTATTATATAGTTTCCATTATTTTCATCTCTTATTTCTTGTAGTATTTCAAATTCAAAATTATCTTGAAATAGGATGGCTACACCTCTAGTGCTTGGTAGTCAAGTTAACTTTGTTGAAAACAGATCACTAAGTTACGGTTGGTAATGATCTCTTTCTAAATGATGGAAAGTAAGACTAAAGTCTCCTCATTTGTTTGAACATTCTTCCTTTCCTTTATCATGTTTATAGTCGTGCGACAATGTGTGAAGCCCATTTCTGGTGTCCTTGCCATGATATTGCTTGAATATTGCTAAAAGTGGCTTAAAACCAAACTCACTCACTCACTCACTCAAACTCTGCCTAATTCAAAGCAGTGCTAAAATTCAAGGCCAGGTTTAATTTGGCTTTGAGACTTTCAAGGGTTGCACGTATATTTGCTAGTTTTCTGGAATATATATATTCCTTTGTTATGATAAATATCAAGTTCAGAACATCGTTACGTTTTTCATGAAAGCCCAAAAGGATTGTTTTCGGATCCAGGTTTATAGTAGTGTCTGTTTTATCTTCAATCCAATTTAAAAGGTCTTGCCACAGCCTATTTAGGTATCTGCATTCAAACATCAAATGAACAATGGTTTCTTTTTCAGCCTTGCAAAATGTACATAGTGGTGATTCTAATATATTATAGTTGTATAGGTCTTTATTGGTTGTGAGAATTCTGTGGACAATAACGATATTGAAACCATCTTTCATTAGTGTTATGAACAGCTCTGAATGGTATAAAGTGATAGGTATTCCATAAGTCAGGTGGAAAACTGTGATGAAGGTCGTTTTCCCATTTACATTGATATCCTAAACTTGGAATAGATTTAGCCTTGTTTAGTAGCGTTGTGTAGAAAATATTGCAGCCTCTCTTATTTTCATAGAGTATTTTTACATTCGGGGAATAAAGGGTAAATGTCTTTGCTTTGTCAATAGCGTAGCTTCTTGCTTTGAATATTGTTTTATTGAAGATACTAATCCCAAGATATTCTAAGAAATTTGTCTCTACTCTATACATCTCTTTAAACTCAGTGAAAGACAGAAAGGATTCATCATCTTTAGTAACGTCATTTATAAATTTTACATTTGCTTTTAAGTAAGCGTTTATATAGTATAGATTTGTTTCCAATTTTTATATTGTTATTTGCCCAAATATACTGTTTGCAAAAGTCGGATTTCGTGTAAGGATACCGTTCTTGTAAATCAGCCCAAGCATCCAGAACATCTTTCCAGAAAAGGTTTTAAGTTTTGGGATGATGTGTGTTTTCAAGTAATTTGAGCCCATTTCTATTGGGTTTGTATTTTTACCATGTTATTTAAGATATTGTTGAATTTAGAATTTGTTGTAAACAGCCTTCTTATCCATGATACTTTTTGAGATTTTATAGTTTCGAAAGTATATCTGGAACTTTCAAGCCGCCTTCTTTATAGTTTCTGATTATCAGAGATCTTTTTATTTTGTCTGGTTTGCCTCTCCAAATAAATGCTAAGATCTTTTTCTGGATCATTTGAATTGTATTCATTTTGGGGTTTGGTAGTGAGGAAAATAGATGATTAAGTGTGGGCAATATTAGGCTTTTCAGGATAGTTATTCTGCCGAATGGTGTGAGATCTCTAAGTGACCAAAGTTTCATTAATCTATCCATTTTCTTTAGTTTATCTTTATAGTTTCTTTCCACCATTTCTGCCTTATTATGTTGAAATATGATACCTAGCAGTTTGAAAGGTCTTTGCGTCCAGTCCAGATTATAGTCTCTGCAAAACTGTGTACTTGAGAATTGTTTAGAACCTATCCACAATACTTTAGTTTTATCAATGTTTATTTTAAGACCAGAGAGGGATGCGTATTGTTTAAGCACTTCTAATGTTGTTTGAAAAGAACGTTCAGACCCGTCTAAGATTATAGTTGTATCGTCTGCGAACTGTGTTAGTAAGTATTCTAAGTCAAACATTTGTATCCCTGTTATTTTGTCATTTTGACATAACATGTGAGCAAGGATTTCTGCGACTTTGAGAAATAGATATGGCGATAGAGGATCACCTTGTCTACAGCCTCTAGTAATGTGGAAGAAGTGTGATGCAAAACCATTTATTGAAACGCTAGAATTTATGTTGTTGTAAAATGTTTTAATCCAGTGGTTGATTGATGGTCCAAAATTAAAGAAGTTAAGACATTTCTCAATAAAAGACCATTCCACGGAATCGAAAGCTTTTTCAAAGTCTATCATTATAAGTAATCCTGGTATATTCATATAGTCACTGACCAATCTCGTGCATTCGCCAATGTATCTACCTTTCATGAAGCCTTTTTGGTCGTCGCTTATTATTTTCGGGAGTACACGTTTTATTCGCGCTGAAATTACGGACGAGGCTAGTTTATACGATATGTTAAGGAGTGATATAGGTCTGTAGTTTTTAATTTGGTCTTTAGGTTTATCTTGTTTGGGAATACATGTTATAAGGCCCTGTTTTTGGCTTACCGAAAGTTCACCTGTTTTGAATGAGTGATTCAACGAGTTAATCAAATATTTGTTAACATCTTGCCAAAAGAATTTGTAAAATTCTGCAGTAAATCCAGATGGTCCAGGACTTTTATTGTTTTTCATATTTTTGAGAGATTGGAGTACTTCATCATATAGTAGTGCGCCTTCCAGGCACTGAGATTCTTCTTCAGTTATTTTAGGTATAGTGCAATTTTTAAAAAGTTCTTCAAGTTCTACATCTTTTATTTCTTTACTAGTATATAGATTCTGAAAGTAATCTTTGGTATGTTTAATAATATCCTTAGCTTCAAATATAGTACCGTGTGCAGTTTCTAATCTAGCAACGGATTTATTTTGAAAGTTTTGTTTTTCAAGTGATAGGAAGTATTTCGACGGTTTCTCTCCCTGTTCATACCATTTCGGCTTTTCGATCTTAGTATAATGCCTTCTGTTTTGTATCGGTTAAGTTCTAATTGTTGTTCTTTGAGTTCATTTATTTCTTTTAATAATTTATCTTTATCTTCTTCGTTCATGGCTGCATCTAATTTGACGTCAAGGTTTTCAAGTGCTTCATTGGTTTCCTGTTCTGCTTTAATTCTTTCTTTCTTTTTTGAGATGAATATTTAATTGTATATCCTCGAATATTACATAATAAAACTTCAAAGAATATTTGTTCGTTTATCATTAGTACTCGCTCTCCTTCAGTGGATCGACTGTGATACTGATCAACAGTTTCTTGAATAATGATTTTGATTTCTTTCACATAATGTGGATCTTGTAATAAACTATTATTAAATTTCCAGAAGCCTCTACCCCTTTCTATTTTTGTGAATTCAATATGTAAAGAGATTATGGAGTGATCAGATCGATAACTAGGTTCTAATTTAGTGCAGGTTATTGATTTTTCCATATTTTGACTTACGAGAAAAAAATCTAACCGTGCTTGTTTTAGGGGTTTCGCTTTCTCCAAGTGTACCTGCATTACATTTACATTGTTTGCTCGCCATGGATCATATAAACTGAGTTCATCAACCATCTCAAGTACTGCTTCCTTTGATTTAGGATTATTTATGTGCAGATAGTTAAAGGTGTCTAGGTTTTGATCTTGAACCAGATTGAAATCACCACATATTACCTTTGTTTCTGTTTCCAAGTTTTTTACAATGTGTTTTATGTTATGATAGAAATCTGGCGTGTCAGTATTTGGCCCGTATATATTTGTTATGCTTATCAGTTCGTTTTCTAGTTTAACCTTAAGTATTATATAGTTTCCATTATTTTCATCTCTTATTTCTTGTAGTATTTCAAATTCAAAATTATCTTGAAATAGGATGGCTACACCTCTAGTGCTTGGTAGTCAAGTTAACTTTGTTGAAAACAGATCACTAAGTTACGGTTGGTAATGATCTCTTTCTAAATGATGGAAAGTAAGACTAAAGTCTCCTCATTTGTTTGAACATTCTTCCCTTCCTTTATCATGTTTATAGTCGTGCGACAATGTGTGAAGCCCATTTCTGGTGTCCTTGCCATGATATTGCTTGAATATTGCTAAAAGTGGCTTAAAACCAAACTCACTCACTCACTCACTCACTCACTCACTCACTCAAACTCTGCCTAATTCAAAGCAGTGCTAAAATTCAAGGCCAGATCCCTATTCAAGGCAGAACACATAATTCAAGGCAGGACTCATTCAAGGCAGGACTCATTCAAGGCAGGACTCATTCAAGGCCTTTTCAAACCTGAATACCAAGCAACATATACTTCATACTGTTACTATGGTTACCTGACAAATCTCGGGTCCTCAGCTGTAGGGTCTTTCTTCGGCTCCTTCTGTTCCCCCTCCTCCTGTGTGTCCCCCTTGAAGTCCTCCAGCAGACACTTCTTGATAGGCACTGTGAACAGCCGCTCATTCACCATGTAGGGCTTCACTTCTGGAACGTATGGGAATTTGAAGTGAGCAGTGAGATAAATACATTAAAAATATGCTAGCCACCTGACCCAGTCATTAAAGTGCCTCGTAATACAGTGAACCTGATACTGGTACAGTGAACCTGATTGCTGGTACAGTGAACCTGATTACTGGTATAGTGAACCTGATTGCTGGTACAGTGAACCTTATACCTGGTACAGTGAATCTGATACCTGGTACAAGGAACCTTATTGCTGGTATAGTGAACCTGATTGCTGGTATAGTGAACCTGATTGCTGGTACAATGAACCTTATACCTGGTACAATGAATCTGATACCTGGTACAGTGAACCTGATTGCTGGTACAGTGAACCTGATTGCTGGTACAGTGAACCTTATACCTGGTACAGTGAACCTGATTGCTGGTACAGTGAACCTGATTGCTGGTATAGTGAACCTGATTGCTGGTATAGTGAACCTGATTGCTGGTACAATGAACCTTATACCTGGTACAATGAATCTGATACCTGGTACAGTGAACCTGATTGCTGGTACAGTGAACCTGATTGCTGGTATAGTGAACCTGATTGCTGGTATAGTGAACCTGATTGCTGGTACAATGAACCTTATACCTGGTACAATGAATCTGATACCTGGTACAGTGAACCTGATTGCTGGTACAGTGAACCTGATTGCTGGTATAGTGAACCTGATTGCTGGTATAGTGAATCTGATTGCTGGTACAATGAACCTTATACCTGGTACAATGAATCTGATACCTGGTACAGTGAACCTGATTGCTGGTACAGTGAACCTGATTGCTGGTATAGTGAACCTGATTGCTGGTACAATGAACCTTATACCTGGTACAGTGTACCTGATTGCTGGTACAGTGAATCTGATTCCTGGTACAGTGAACCTGATCCCTGGTACAGTGAATCTGATCCCTGGTACAATGAATCTGATACCTGATACAGTGAACCTGATTGCTGGTACAGTGAATCTGATTGCTGGTACAGTGAACCTGATTCCTAGTACAGTGAACCTGATTGCTGGTACAGTGAATCTGATTCCTGGTACAGTGAACCTGATTGCTGGTACAAGGAACCTTATACATGGAACAGTGAACCTGAGTCCTGGTACAAGGAACCTTATACATGATACAGTGAACCTGATTGCTGGTACAGTGAACCTGATTGCTGGTACAGTGAACCTGATTCCTAGTACAGTGAACCTGATTCCTAGTACAATGAACCTTATACCTGGTACAGTGTACCTGATTCTTGGCACAGTGAACCTTATACATGGTACAGTGAATCTGAGTCCTGGTATAGTGAACCTGATTGCTGGTACAGTGAACCTGATTGCTGGTACAGTGAACCTGATTGCTGGTACAATGAGCCTTATACATGGTACAGTGAATCTGAGTCCTGGTACAGTGAACCTGAGTCCTGGTATAGTGAACCTGATTGCTGGCACAGTGAACCTGATTACTGGCACAGTGACAGGATGGAGTAGTCATCACCATTTATAGCACCTCACCCATTGGACTAAAGAACTCCATACTGGTATTTTATCTGAAATTTACTAGCATTGTCGTACCATTACAGCCTTGCCTGTTAGTCCCTCATTCACTCATATTTACACTAAAGCAGTCCCATCTTTCTCATAACCACTTACTGTCCTAAACGATGATCGTGACTTCATATGCCATCTTTTAAAGCAGGCTCACACAGAGTTATCTCCCTTACATCAGCCAATGGATCGTGTCACAGTGATACAAATGATAGGACAATAAACCAGTGGCAAAGCAGGGACTATTCTGTTAACTACACAAGCACCATCAAGGGTTAGGCTTGGTCTTCGGTAACCCATGTTTGTCATAAATGGTTGATGCATGTCACTGTAACCTAACTGCACAGATATATGCGTTTGATGTCAATCACTGGATTGTCTGGCCAAGACAAAATTATTTATAGACCATTATATTTTTATATAACTAAGACATCGCTAACTGTGGCATAAAACAACAACAAAACACCAAACTACCACACTGTCACAAATACTTTCAGAATAACCTGCAAGCGAAGGTGAATAATGATTAATTGCCTAGAGTGTCCTGGGCAAAAATCTTCAACATTATTTCAAGAACACTTATTCTGAGTTTCCAGGAGGTTTTTCTCTGAAAACAGTATCACCTATATATCACTTTGGGTAACACATCTATAAGAAATGCTGACTCAGCAGTGTTCTACTCACTGGTGTCGGAGATGGCCTTGGCAACCGGTGATGGTTCACTGGTGGCTGCCAGAGACACAGGACCTCTATAATACAAGAGAAAAATAGTCAATACCAACATTTATAACGATCAGTCCAGACACTGGCATACTAAATGAGATAAAGATAATCGAAAAGTCTGAACATCTGTATCTTTAGATGCTGGAACTCAAATACTGTCAAGCTCAAAAATATATTACAGAGAGCAGTAGGTACAGAAGCTCACCTTTATGAAGTGAAATACCACATGGGATGATGTTCCAAACTAGTTATTTTGTACAAAATATGGACTATTAATAGCTACATCTGAGTACAAAAGTCTTTTCTTGTATATATTATGATATTTTGTGAAACCTTATTGCAAATAACAAACAATGATTCAGCACTCACTCCATGTATGTCATGTTGGAACATTCTTCACGGTTGACTCGGCGGAACTCCTTTAGGTCCTCGAAGTATGCCTCAGACTCATCAATAGCGTCCTTGTCATTGTCCAGCAGCGCCGCGATCCAGTCGTATCCCAGCATCTTCTTCTGAGATTCCCGCCGGATAACGCTGGATGTGTCAGATGTGGAATGGAAACTCACCTTGGTTGGCGTCTGCAGAAGGGTGAGAAGGATTAATGCAACTTTTTACAATATTCCTGTACTATCACAGTGGGAAAGGTCAGATATGAGCTTCAGACATTGTATCAATGTGGGGAATCCAAGCCAGGTCATAGGCATGACATGCTAGCACTTCAACCACTACCCTACCCCTCAGAGCCTAACACATAGAATAACTTCAACCACTACCCTACCCCTCAGAGCCTAATACATAGAATAACCTCAACCACTACCCTACCCCTCAGAGCCTAATACATAGAATAACCTCAACCACTACCCTACCCCTCAGAGCCTAATACATAGAATAACCTCAACCACTACCCTACCCCTCAGAGCCTAATACATAGAATAACCTCAACCACTACCCTACCCCTCAGAGCCTAATACATAGAATAACCTCAACCACTACCCTACCCCTCAGAGCCTAATACATAGAATAACCTCAACCACTACCCTACCCCTCAGAGCCTAATACATAGAATAACCTCAAGACAAGGAAACCTCAAACATTACTATTTTCTGAATGAGCTAATTTTGTTTGGATTCATTTCTCAAAAACTCTAAATAAAAAGTTGTGTATTTCAAGGATTACTTTCACCACCATTCAGTGAAATGTAGGAAGTAAAAAGTTTACACAGTGCCTTGCTGCCTCCTTCCTGAACTCACTTGCACAAACCAACTTTATTGCTCTAATTATTATAAATAAACTTAGTTTATATCTATAATTTCCATCTGCTTACACAAAACAGGTGTAGGCCAAGATCAATGTTGGCTAAGATTACTGCAAGCTACAACTGACGTTAAGTTGTCTGATTATAACATGATATTTCTTGTCATGTCATAAAACTGATTATATTTGCATGTACATCATGTTCTTCCACCTTGTCATTCACCTAATGGTGGGGCAAGACGTAGCAGTGAAAGGTATGTCTGTGTTATGAAGTTGTTATCCATGACATTTCTTGTCATACACCTGGTTTGTCCTGTAGTCCTGACAGTTGGGAATTGTCTCCCTTTGTATATATACTTGATTGACATATAAACTGTTTCATGCAACTGCATTGATTTGCTACTGACTTTGGAGATACTAAAAACTGTATTCCCTAAACAGGAACTCAACCATATCTTTGATTTTGCATCATATATTTTATCATTTGGCATTAAAATTCAGTGAACTACTATCAAAACGATCATGCTTATTATAGCAAACTGACAAACTGGATATAACAAACTGTTTTGTATATTATTGTCCCACCCACTTGCTGAAATAATATATAAAAAACTAAAGTTAGCAGTCCCTTTGAGTCAGGTCATCTAGAGTGTGTTATTCAACGAAATGGGAAACATCACAGAATATCAACACTGACCTTGTTTCTACTGCGCGAGAATGATGCATCCTTGCTGGTAAGTACGGACCTGGGCCTTGTCACAGTCTCACGGACAAACCCCGCCATCTCCTTGTTGTTGCCTTCATCAACCAGCTGCTTGGCATACGTCACTTCCGAATCCATCGCGGCAGACGGCACAGTGGACACCCCTGACACTCCATCCTGAAGTGACCTGTCCTGTCTGTCCTCCCATCGCGTGTCATCAAACCTCACACTGTCCGACTTCCCAGCTCCCCAGTCATCATTGACTCTCCGGTCAGCCACATCCTGGAAGAGTTCCTCCGGTGACTGATTGAGGGCAGACTTGATGAAGGTCAGGTCATCGTCCATCACGTCAGAGTAGCTGAAGTTCAGGCGGTCCCCACTGTCAACATCCTCTGAGTTGCTGAGTCTGCTGTCAATCTGATACAACAGTTAAACATTTATGTGCATTCTCCCTGGTAATACATCAATGTTCAGAATCAAAGGTTGTCCTATTCTTCTCATAGTAGCATTTGATTCTCGAGACCACCTCCATGTTCAACAACATCAGCCCAAACATGGCCCTTAGTAACATTTTCAGTAGAATTTAGTGTTATTATACAGCTAAACTTACTTGATCACACAGATTTTACTAGTCTTGGGCCTCGGACTAGTGGCTAAGGTCACCATGGTCACAGACTGCCATTTGAACATGTGTTAACCACCATTGCACAAACACTGAAATGTTACCATGGTAACACGGTGTATGGATTTATCAGTGAGTTTAGTTTTACGCCGCTATTAGCAATATTCCAGCAATATCATGGCTGGGAACACCAGAAATGGGCTTCACACATTGTACCCATGTTTGGATTTATAGGAAGATTAGCAAATGTGAATTTTTCAGAAATCATGTCAGTTCACAGTTTTCTTGCAAATTTTATTTGGAATTTCAGTTGCTGAAGTATGCTCTAAACATCATTTAGTGATAATGTAATCTGTACATTACAGGGAAAGTTTGTTGACTTGTACTTCCTTGTTTCCTTGAACATCTTATATACTACTCGAAACAAGTTAAAAAACACCCAAAGACAAAGATGATTCTGAACACTGCCGAGATCATTGACTGATGGTATCTTGGTATAATGAGTGGGTATGGTTTTACACCGCTTTTAGCAATATTCCAGCAATACCACGTCAGGGGACACCAGAAATGGGCTTCACACATGAAACCCAGGTCTTCGGCGTGACGAGAAGATGCTTGATCCATTAGGTTACCCCACCGTCCCAATGGTATCTTGACATGAATACAGGGCGTAACTCTGACAAACTCTTGAAAATGTAAATTGGCAATATATTGCAAGATAGATTATATATATATATCTATATTACAACATCAGATCCAGATCAATATACACTGACAGTGACACTGACTGCATTAGTGTAAACTGCTACCATGTTCCCATTTCTGGTTTCCCCAGCCATGATATTGCTGGAATATTGCTAAAAGCAGCATAAAACCATACACACTCACTTTTACAAAAGGTATCAATCTATCAGTATCATTTAGATGTCATTTTAGAGAAATCTGTTGCATGTTTTGGGTTTTTAAAATTTGTCGATGCATCAAACTTTACAGTCTTTACAGAGAGCCGTGTGTTGCATTACCCACCAGCCACAAGACAAATTGACTATGCTAAATAAATCAGTTGCAAGAATCAGAATTGAAACAAAAAGAAATAAATTGAATTAAGTTTGTTTAAGACAAGTTGTTTATCAAGTAATACAGTATCCATCCATGGTATCCTTTCCAACAATTTGCAGGAATTCTGAGTGTCTTGGAGAAATCAAGACCTAACTGTTGAATTTCCTAACAACTTGTAATAGGTTTGACTAACGAGGGCTCATTGTATGGGGAACATTCCTGGAGTTGTGCCCCCTTGCTCGCTTGGAGTGCTGCGGTAGTTACGGTCCAACAGTAGCTGTCACTCTGATACTTTGAACGCCATCATTATGCGGGAAGTACACTTAGGACCGTGGTGATTGGCGCCATCTATTGGCGAAGCAGTAAAGGGAGATAACTAAGGAATGTATGTTCCCCATTAGCTATTCACAACTAGTTTAATTACTGACATGAACATTCTCACCTTTACATTTCTGTCGATGAGTTCTCTCCTGCGACGTGTCCTGGGTGTAGTGGTGTATCTACCAGAGCAGGTTCGTCCGCTTGATACATTCTCATCAGTGGTGTAGGAGACTACTGCAGGGACGTCTCTACTAACCCCTGAAAATCCTTCACTCTCTGAACCACCAACATGTCTCCTGTTTGATGTTTCATCTTGAAGACACTTGGACACTTTTGTATATGAAGGCCTATTTTGGTTCCCTGTATATCTGTAACCTGAACAGGAGGGCTGTTGGTCTCCTCTCTCTGTGGATCTGACTACACTTCTCAGTTTGTCCCTTGCGTACTCTGGCTTGTAATCAGTTCTGTGACTGTGCAGGTTGTTTGATAATGGTTCCTGATGATGAGTTGATGAGGAATTTGGTATCATAACCTTCAGTTCACTTTGCTGGAACTTGAGTCGTTGCAGCAGATCCTGGCACTGTCTCCGCAGTTCTTCATCCCTAGATGCCATCACTGGCTGCTACACAAGCTGAGAATACACAGGCTCAAATGGTTGCTAGACGTTCTGGAAAAAAACATGGAGAAGATCATGGGCGGATCCAGGAATTTTGAAAGGGGGGGTTTCCGGGGGTTCGAACGTATCAAAAGTTACGATAAGTTTGCAACTTGTTCTGATAATACATCACCATAATCAATCATTAATACTTCTCCTTTTCATGACAAGTGTTTTCATCTGTTGTGTATCATATCATGCAACCTTAATTGTCAGATACACCCTTAAATACAGGGTGTTACTATGGTTACAGCCATGTTTTTACAGAGAGTTAGCCATGCACATATTACGTAACCATGGTAACTTAAGGACCTATTGCAGCTATATGTATGACAACAAAATTATTTGGGCACTTTTACACTCAATTAGTTCTTGTTTATCAAGTGATGAATACCATTTATGTGCATATGCAGCACCCTTTTTGTCAAGTCAATACTAATTAAACCTTGCGTAACCTTGATTCGTGGACATAATGGAAATGCAGCAAAAATCATATCTTAAATGCATGATTTCATTTTGTATACTCACTGATTATTTTATTCATTGATTCAGCAAATTGAAAATGCCTAATATACGTATACCACCTGTGAATGAAACGTTTGTTTACTGCAGTCATTTGCAATCATTACCCATGTGTGCACACAAAATGTGATGTCACCTTGTTTCATGGACTACGGAGTCGGTTACAATATATCATTATGTACGACAGCCCATTGCAGTAAGTATTGACATCTAGGAAAGCAGACAACGTGATGTGAGAAGGTTGGTGCTAACAGTATCTTTTTTACTTGGCATTTTGTAAAAATAAAATTTGGTGCTAGTGTCATTAGTGATCTTAGGCTATATATCTCAGTGCTGGACAATTAAAATTAGTGTACTTACGTGTAATACAGAGATTTGGAACATTTTGTCAGCGGGATGTGGCATTGTGTGTACATCATAAGTACGTCATACAAGACTTAATTCATGAGACAGCATGATAATTACCGTGATCAACAGATCAAGGCTATCCATGAATTTAGGTTACGCTCTTGTACTTTTTCCGTAATTTACACTGGATTAATTCTTTAAAGAGATAACTAATCCATACTCTACCTCATAACTAAGCTGCAAACCAAAAGGATTGTAAAGGGTTGTTTGATTAGCAAGTGGTGCTCAAGGATTACGATTCAGTCAGTGCAGCCTACCCACACCCTAACACAAATTATTGTAAGGAACGAAGAAGCACTTGAGATGTGCTAAGCCAGCAGAATTGATGGCACTGTACTCTGGAACTTTGATACATTTGAGAAATCTTTGGGCATGCAAGCAAGGTAAACCCGCGTTTTAATTCTACGCTAAAAGTAATAGAAGTTTATTGGTGTCTTGGAATTTTTACTGTAGTAAAAGGATCTCTATCTTATGATAGTAAATAATGCAACAGACAAGTACAGGAGCAAGCCCTTACTGGAAAGCCTCTTTGCTTATACTCCTCACGATATAATTTTACAACAGCAAATACTCTATTATTGATTTCAACTTTCTCACGGCAACTATTTTGGGCTATGGTCATTAATATGATCATTTCACGATTGCTGAAATATACCTTTTATACTTACAAATTAAATTAAAGTCAATCCCTTTCGACATGCACTGACAAGACACAGGGCAGCGCCATTTTCCAAAATTTGTTTACATCACGTGATGTGTTGCCAACCCTGATTGGTTAAAAAGAAATATACAAAACACGAACGCAAATTCGAAATATGACCACATTATCACATTTTCTACTCTTTTCGAGTGATTTATAAGTTTGTGCTAAACTGTATTACGGTGAATATATGTCTGAATATATTTCGGTAATATAGGTCAGAATACCCGAAATACAACGCTAGATTGTAAAGTATGGATAGTAATTCGTTTTTATTTTCTTGGGAAAAAATCATTGTTGATAAACTGTGTGAGAGGCATACTAGAGGTTGTATGACAAGTGAATTTTATTGTACAATTGCGACGTTTTGGCATAGACGCTTATACAGTTTGGTAAGCTGTAATTAGTTACGGAGATAAGTTGGATTCTATTGGTCACTGACATGAATCTTAGGCGTCCACGGTAGTCGTGGTCGCCTTATCAGTTGGCGTGTGCCGATGTGGCAAAATGTCGACCCTGTCAAGAATTCGGAAAACATGCTTTCCAAGTAAACAACTAAGTATCGTGGCCCTCGGTGTCATCTTAGTGGGAGCCGTCTTTGTATATTACAACAGCGGACAAAGTAACTCATTTACACGTGAAAACAAACAGTTTTACAGAAATAATGTTCTTGAAGAGAAGGTAAAATCTTTGAAAGATGGACGAAAACAGGAAAAGGTTGAAGAAAATAACTTCCTTTCAACTGGAGAAGTGCATCCTAAAAAAGTTGGAGATGAGAATACATCCCTTGCCACTGACGGAGATCTCCCAGAGGAAATAAATGTTATTATCACATTTACTAACGCTCATTCTAGTCCTTCTCTTCAGAGGAAATTTACAGTTACTGTGACAACAATGCTTGCTGCAACGTCTGCCCCTTTAGCTCTTCATATACTGGGCGACATGGAAAGTCAGAAGCTAGCTGCTTCAATTATCAAGGAAAATGTTAAATCAGACAACTATCGGGTAATAATATGTTTATGCATCTTTTTTTGCGATTCCATCTTCTGCGATTGTTGAATATGTTCACCACCCAATATATAGTTTTTAAGAAATAGATATATCTGAAAGAATTCTTCAGTCAGATCACTGATCACTTGTTCCTCCGAGGTTCTTATAATTAAGAAATACAGTTTGCTCTACCCCCATTTATAGTGTAATAAAGTACACTTTTGCCCTAAACTATTATACTAGTTACAACTTGCGTCTACGTTATAGAGTGCTTTATTACACTTTACATGGTGGTAGAGCGAACTGTATTTCTTTTCTAAGATGCCAAATTTAATATACACAGGCATTAATCTAGGCAGAACACAAACAGATAAGCAATGGTGCTGGTGACCAAACTTAGCAATCCTCATTCAGGGCTAAATGACGGGCTCTTCCAGTGACTTGTCTGTCCCCCTATTCTAAGACGCACTTTGCCGTGAAAACAAATCATAAACAGTTTGAAGACGGTTTATGTTCAGGTTAAATATCTTCTCTATATTGTTTTTCAGTTACATCTGGGATTATCATTACCACATTTGGCAATGTGAAAGTCGCACTTGTACTACCAACCTAAGCTTAGAACAGTAAATAGAGATGAAGTTGACTAGTCACGCGAAATTCCACGGATGCATTTTGGGACTGTGCACATAGACTTTATCAGCGAACGTTGCTGGGTGGCTGTTTAATTGTGATTCAAGCTGAGATATGTATACGTCGAAAAAAATTTAAAAGTAATGTTTCCACCAGTGATGTTAGCCAAGAGAAGCAAGAGGGGGCAGAGGAGAATGGCGTAGTGACGTCAATACACTGTAACATGCAATGTGTGTTTAAAGCATGACTAGGTAAACTGGAATTCAAGTATTGAGGGGGTGAGTGAGTTTAGTTTTACACCACTTTTAGCAATATTCCAGCAATATCATGGTGGGGGACACCAGAAATGTAATACCCATGAGGGGAATCGAACCCCATCCTCGGCGTGACAAGCAAAAGCTTTAACCACTGGGCTACCCCACCGCCCCTGGAATTTAAGCCTTGGTACAATGGGTGAAGCCTATTTCAGGTGTCCTTCACTTTGATATTTCTGGAATATTGCTAAAAGCAGCATAAAACTAAACTCACTCGCTGGAATTTAAGTAACACTATAGCAGGGGCAGATACAGCTTTTTTAGAAAGGGGTGTGTGCATACTATTGAGAAAAGGGAGGGTGCACATTTCATTTTCACTCGAGTTTCAATGGTCATTTAGTAGGGACAAAAGGGGAGGTGCACACCCCTGCACTGCCCTTCTGGATCCACCTATGTATAGACTGAGTGTAAGAGTTTGTCAAGCTAACAGTTGAAAGGTTGTGAGTTGAGTCCCAAAGAAAGTGGTCGCCTGTCTAAGTGACATGTGACCTACAGCTGAGATCATCTTCAGAAGATGAGGTACTGGACTCCATTTCACAAAATAATTATAAAACTATGACTGTAGTAACTCAAATAGTTTAATACAGACTTATGACAGTCTTTGCTGTGTAATCGCTATGTGAAAGGCACCCAGAGTTTTGAAGATTGTCCATTTCTGTTCAGGTTTGTCAGTGTGATTTGGCTGAAAAAGTCAGTCGTTACAGTTTACAACTGCATTCCAAGCACTGTAGTTCGGTTCACTACCACAGAAGGCAGCTGTCTAGACAGGAACCTTCAATAAGCCAGAAATTCTGGACTCTGTTTCTTGGGTGAAATAGCCTCATGCCTTGACAATGGAATTGTGTGAAAAGTCACTCTGAGGAGAATGACCTTGTAATACCCAGCATCGAGTATTGACCTTATGGTTACTCTGGTGAAACTGGATTATGTTTAGTGACGATACCTCTAAAAGATGATAAAGCCACATTTATGATGATAAAGACCAGCCGTCCCAAACTACAGTGTACCTATGATTACCTAGTCTGCAAACTTGAAAAAGAAAATCACTCCCATCTTGCATCAGTTGGGCTGAGTGAAGTTGTGACCAAAAATGTTAGAAAGGGTATTTTATCGTCTATTTTATTGCCTCATGTCAAATTTCAACTGCTAACATTTACAGTTATGAGACTCACATGGCTTCTTTGTTTCAAGGGGCGGTGGGGAATCCTAGTGGTTAAGCGTTCACTCGTCACGCTGAAGACACGGGTTTGATTCTCCACATCGGTACAATGTGTGAAACCCATTCCTGGTGTCCCCCATCGTGGTATTGCTGGAATATTGCTAAAAGTGGTGTAAAACTAAACTCACTCACTCACTCTTTGTTTTAAAGTGGGGCGGTGGGGTAGCCTAGTGGTTAAAGCGTTGGCTCGTCACGATGAAGACCCGGGTTCAAATCCCCACATGGGTACAATGTGTAAAGCCCATTTCTGGTGTCCCCTGCCGTGATGTTGCTGGAATGTTGCTAAAAGCGGCGTAAAACCAAACTCAGTCAGTCAGTTGTTTTAAAGTGCAAATTCAGTTCCACTGGATGCTCTCGTAAAATCTCCAAAATCATGGATTCTAAACTCTTGATTTCTTTACAGATAGTTGTCCTTGACATTGAGGATATCACACACCATCTTTATGATCTTGTGAAGGACATGCAGAGCAAATTCAGTGGCCAGCGTTCATACTACCATGATGCATTGTTCTTCCTGTCCATTGCTATACACAGGGTGCTGCCCACAGACATTCACAAAGTCGTCATGCTAGATGCCGACCTGAAGTTTCAGGGGGACATCAAGAACCTGCATGTACTGTTCAATAACTTCTCTGACACTAATGTGATGGGGATAGCCCATGAGGCCCAGCCAGTGTACCGCCACCAGTTCCACCAGTACAGAAATCAAAACAAGGGAACGCGTGTCGGAGAGCCCCCACCCAATGGCCTGACAGGCTTCAACAGTGGTGTTCTTCTCCTGGACATTGACAGGATGAGGTCATCAGCTGTCTACAATTCTCTCATCACAGCTGAAGTGGCTGAACAGCTGAAGAAGAAGTACAGCTTCAGGGGTCACCTTGGCGATCAATGCTTCTTCACCCTTTTATCGTTGGAACATGAGGACCTGTTCTACGTTCTTCCCTGTAACTGGAACAGGCAGCTGTGTACATGGTGGAAGGGGAAAGGTTACGACGATGTGTTCGATCTGTATTTTAAATGTGAAGGTCATATCAATATATATCATGGAAACTGTAATACAAAAATTCCAGATTGATGCTAATTTGGTGTAATCATTGAAGTTTCATCCCCAGAACCTTAAGCTGCAATCGACAGAGTGATGACAGCACTATGTCTACTGTAAGTCTGTTCTGAGATTTGGGAAGTGTCTGCAATATGATTAAGAGATCCGAAACTTGACCAAATGCTATATTTCACCTATTTCACGAATTGCAAAATAGTAATTTGACGCCTGTCTTTTGTCACAGGTAAATGTCTGAATCCCATTAATAGCATATGATGTGAACAGTTGAATCCCAAACCTACCTCCGAGGAGTAAGTTGACATGCATGCAGCTCAAGTTTCACTGTTGTGATGAATGTTGTGTTTCTTGTGAGACATTATCAGGGTGTAAGGTCACATGTTCCAAATGACAAACACCCACTGGACCAGAGATGTGCTGTATGAATGAACAGAATGTGCTGTTTACAGCAGAACATAAAGTAACGCCACTGAGCTCTAGGGTCATCAATTACCTAAAGTGTGAGTCCTCTGTAGTAATACCCTTGACCTACACCACTATGGGTGAATCAGTACGCTCTTACCATGGTACGGTATGTATTGCGGTACAAGACCTTCAGTTCGGTCCGTTTCAGTTCGGTATTTGAGACCTGATCATAATGCAGAAAAGAAATGCATAGATTTGGACAAACTGATTTGATTTCTAGGCATTTTAGAAAAGGTTTAAAAAAGGTTAATGAAACGATGTTTCGAAAACCGAAAATACAGAATTCTTTCATTACATTACAGTATACCAAACAAAGGTGAAATACCATGGTTCTACTAATATCGCGGTATACTGTTTCATCCCTAATGAGTTCAGTTCAATAGAGACATCCCCATCTCCATGTTTCATCTCTCTAACTGATTCACTCAGTGTCCTCATACTCGCAACTGTTACATATTTGGAAGATATGTTTATCTTTGTGCAGTTCAAATCAGACAGAAAATGTAGGCGAGCTGGTGCAGGGTATTCATCATGACAGAATGTAGATACAGATCCCAGGATAATGGTGGAGTTTGGAGGAGTGAGTCAGTTTAGTTTGACGCCGCCGCACTTGGCAATGTTCCAGCTATATGGTGATGGTCTGTAAATAATAGAGTTTGGACCAGACAATCCACTGATCAACAGCATGATCATCGATCTATGCAACTGGGATACAATGACAATTGTCAACCAAGTCAGCGAGCCTGACCACCTGATCCTGTTCGTCACCTCTTACGACAAGCATGAGTTACTGAAGATCAATTCTAACCGGGATCATCATCTGGTGGGAGGGAGTGTTTGTTGTTTTTAGCCAAGTTGTGCTCCATATGTCAATGAGATATTCCTTTCTCTCACTTGTGGACATGGAGACATGGACTTGAGGATGGTTATTTATTATTTTTGTATGGTGCAAGTGCCTTGGAATGTTTGCTAGTCATTGTACTCTGTTACTAGTGTTGAACATGTACTACAAATATATTGTCAAGACATGTATGTGTTACCCAGGGGTGCTGTGTCATACACAAGCATGTCACATGCTATACAGATAGGTCATAGGATACCCAGGAAATTGAATTTATTTTCGGGGATGTCGTATGAGTGAGTGAGTGAGTTACTATTTAACGTCACATCGGCAATATCTCAGCCATATCGTGACGAATGATGAAGGATGTCGTATGATGTCCTTGGATGTCATGATGGGTGTCGTGTCATGTGGTGCCCAGGGATGTTGCGAGATACCGGGGGGGTTCACACACTGTCCAGGTCGATGTCGCAATACCCTTGGGTGTCGCCATCGTGTTGTGTGGTGCCCAGGAGTGTTGTGTGATACCCGGGGGGTTCTCACACTGTCCAGGTAGGTGTTGAATACCCTTGGGTGTCTGGGATATTGTGTGGTACCTGGGTGTGCCATACATTATCCAGGTGGGTGTCATGTACCTTGGGTGTTGTGTTGGGTGGTGCCAAGGTGTCCTCCCATAAGTTAGACTTCCCATTTGTCAGACATGTTATGGTTGGTTGCAGTCGGGTACACTGCACCGTTGCCTTTATTAAGTAATGGACTGATCCAAATTTATGGATAATGACTTTATTCATCATAAATACAACAAATTAAGATAATTTACCAAGGATGATTAGGGTAAGACTACAGAATACCGGATACCTTCCGCTATCTTTGAAAGCATGCGATTTTACTTAGGGTTAGGGTAAGGGTAAGGGTTAGGTTTAGGTTGACATGACACTAAACAATATGGCTGGTAGGTGTCCGGTATTCTGTAGGTGTACCATGTTTAATTACACAAAAAAATGATCTTATTCAGCATATTTCGAGTTTGGCTCCCTCTGTGATCTCAATCTTCTGGATCTATCTGTTTGTCCCTACTTTGTCTTGGCAATTGAACACTGGAGGCCATGTCTGTAGGAAGATCAGGCACATGAACAAGGTTACTACTATCTACACATTCATCTTTATATCCTGGTATTAAAGTCACATGACCTAGGCTAGAGTAGTTTGTTATTTCTGTCAGAATATAGTCAGAGCCGCATTTGCATTTACTCCAAAATGATGATCCCTCTGGAGGAATATGAATAATACCCATGTAAATATCACTTCTAGTATTAAACATCTGCCTATCAATTCTTATCCATAAGGAAAATACACAACTAGATACTATTCTAACAAAAGCATAGGGCATTGGTGAGAGGAAGTTGGTCCCCATAGTCATGATCAAAGTGAACATCATAAACATAAACTGACAGAAGTCATAATCCTGTTTTGATCAAAGTGAACATTATGAAAACAAACTTGGAGAAACCGGCGATTGAGTACGTCAATTAACATTAGCATACTGATAAAAGTATTTCTGTACAAAAAGTAACACAATCATAACTAGTCTTAAAATATACCGCTAGCCACTATAGTAAAAACATCTCGCTAGTCTATGGGATTGGTCTATTATGTCAGTGGGTAAGGCTAGGTTGTAATCGCAGTAACGCCTGATTGATTTGTTTGATAATTGGCATGTCTGACAAATGGGGTGTCTAATTTATGGGAGTAAACTGGTGCCAAGGGATGTTGCATGATACCTGGGAGTGTCTGACACTTTCCAGGTAGGTGTCGTGATACCCTGGGTGTTGTGTTGAGTGGTGTCAAAGGGTGTTGCATGATACCTGGGAGTGTCTGACACTGTCCAGGTGGGTGTTGTGTTGAGTGGTGTCAAAGGGTGTTGCATGATACCTGGAGGTGTCTGACACTGTCCAGGTAGGTGTCGTGATACCCTTGGGTGTTGTGTTGAGTGGTGTCAAAGGATGTTGCATGATACCTGGGGGTGTCTGACACTGTCCAGGTAGGTGTCGTGTTGAGTGGTAACAAGGGATTTTGCATGATACCTGGGGGTGTCTGACACTGTTCAGGTAGGTGTCGTGATACCTCGGGTGTCGTGTTGAGTGGTGTCAAAGGATGTTGCATGATACCTGGGGGTGTCTGACACTGTCCAGGTAGGTGTCCTGATACCCTGGGTGTCGTGTTGGGTGGTGCCAAGGGATGTTCATTGTCATCTGACCAAGGGTGGGGTGGGATACACAAGGGTGTCACGCTAAACCAAGGGCTATTAATATATTACATTCACAAATAGGATTTTACTGGGTTTTCCCCATGTATTTTACCAATTTTACCAATTTTGATAATTACTGTTGTTTAGTCTCTGCAGTACCAGCTTGATATGTTTGGGAAGTCAATCCGGTGCCTGCATAGCTAAATACATTTCCATGTTCCATGTTGGCTATCCTACTTGTGTTGATGTGGGATCTGTGTCCATGTTGTTCTTTTTCATGATAATGCTGAATATTTAATTTCAGAATTTGCCACATGTTTTACAGAACCATGTTTTGGTTTTGCTTTGTTCACACATCGAAGCATTCCCACATGTCACAAACTGTTGATTTGTATCTGTGCCGCCTTCAGTGTTGTTTATGTGTATATACCGTACAGAACAATTACAGATCATGAATGTGTTGAGGGATATTTTTTGTAATTTTGACTGAGCATGCAATTTGTAGATCAGCTGATAAATTGAGACAAGTACTGCATTTTATATATTTGTCTTATTATTCTCTTGGCCAAAACCAACTTTCAAGAATATATTTTTTTATTTATTGTGTGTGTTCGGGCTGTCAGTGGATGATGTAGTTAATGTAGCATTCCACAAATTTAGGGTATATTATCACCACAAATGTTGATTATTGTTTGTTGTTATAATATGAAATGTTATGTTACTTACATGTATATGCCAGTTCTTTTTTATGGGGAAGGTTTCAAAAGTTTGGATGTTATTTACATATGCAATTATACTGAATACAATATACAATGTTTGTATATCCCGACATTTCCTTGCTCACATATGAAACCTGTGCTGTGTTACACTTGTGTTTATAATTATCTTGTTTACCTGTGCAGCATGTTTGAGGTGAGGTGAGGTGAGGTGAAATTGGGTTTAACATCGTGCTTGAGAATATTTCGCTCATATGACGATGTGCATGTGTGTGTATGTGTATGTGCGGCTGCTTGTACTAGCCCAGACTGAAGCTGGTTTTATTGTGCTGCCCACTGAGATACCATGCCGCAGTAAAGCATTAATACCTCACTCAGACACATTATACTGACTCCAAGCCGACCAGTCCTTGTTGTACCCATTAATGCTGAGCGCCAGGCAGGGACCAACAAGTAAGATATTTTAACGTCTTTTTGTATGACGCGGTCGGGGATCGAACCCGCCGCGACCTTCCGCTGTGCAGCATGTATATCCATACAGTTTCAGTGAAACTGTCCACTGATTGTAAAACGAAGCTTGCTTTATAATATTATTGTTCAGAAGTTGCTGTCTTCCATTTTTTATGAGTGAGTGAGTTTAGTTTTACACCGCACTCAGCAATATTCCAGCTATATGGCGGCGGTCTGTAAATAATCGAGTCCAGACCAGACAATCCAGTAATCAACAGCATGAGCATTAATCTGTGCAATTGGGAACCGATGACATGTGTCAACCAAGTCAGCGAGCCTGACAACCCAATCCTGTTAGTCGCCTTTTACGACAAGCATTAAGTCACCTTTTATGACAAGAATGGGTTGCTGAAGACCTATTCTACCACGGATCTTCACGGGTCTCCATGTTTAATGGGGGCGGTGGGGTAGCCTAGTGGTTAAAGCGTTGGCTCATCACGCCGAAGAGCCGGGTTCGAATCCCAACATGGGTACATTGTATGAAGCCCATTTCTGGTGTCTCCTGCCGTGATGTTGCTGGAATATTGCTAAAAGCGGCGTAAAACCAAACTCAGTCAGTCAGTGAGTCAGTCAGTCCATGTTTAATGAGAAACATGACTCCCATCATCATGCTGGTTCAAGTGTTATTATTTCTACTGTAGCGTCCAAGCAGGTGGTTGTAACACTTGTGTCCTCACTGTGAAGAAAGGCAGTTCCGCTGTGTGGACATACAAGCAACAACAAATCGTTTTTCATCTCATATACTCAGCAGTAGTGAATGGGTTAAGAGGTGCTATATTTGTGTTTGTTAAATTTATGATAATTGTTGACTTTAGTCCCAATACATTCCAGCACTGTACAGCTAACGGTCATTGCCAGTGTTCAAAATAGCCATCCGCCCGAATGCCTAAGACTGGTTAAATTTAAGTCAGTCATATTTCTATTACCACTGAATATTTTGCTGGTCCTTAAAAATAAATAGCTTTATAACATGTTTTTCAAGTTCTTTTTGTTTGTTTTATCTGTTTTTGAGGATACCACATACCTGATGAAGTGCAATCTGTCTGCCATCATCACTGTCATGTTGTGGTTCTACTGTTTTGGTCTACAGACAGACAGACAGACAGACAGACAATATTGACATGCACTTGTTAGACTTACCAAACCAACAACACAACCAGGAAGCATATTTCATGAGGCTTCAACGTGACTAAGTTCTCCCTGTGCGTGAAAATGAACAGAATTAGCTACCATTCTGTGATTACAGATCTCTCAAACTGCAAGGGAGAATTACAGTATGGTGTCACCTACTGGGGACCCCTCTCTTCTCTTTGCTAATATTTTGACATTTAGAGCTGGGCAACAGAGCTGAAGGAATGCATTATAGATAGTGAAGATCGGATGAGGGGTGTAGAAATTATAGAAGAGTGTGCGCCAACACCAGAGGCATAGCTCGTATGTGTGTCTGTGAGTGAGTGAGGGAGTATATTTTATGTTATTTTGAACATGGCTATCATGACATCTGTTTTCTAAGATTGATCTCTATGAAAGAAAAAAGATTGTCTGCGCCAAGAAATGTTTACAAAAGCATTGTAACACAGTGATTGTAATCTGGGTATATACGGAATGGTTTTCATCTCCATCTATTTAAGAAATTTGAAGACAGGAGGATTGAAAAGATCCAGATACCAATCTATCCTGTAGCAGTACATGACAATCCTCCATTCCTGTCGACACTCCTTTCAGTTAAAGATATTCATTTATCATTGGAACTTGACTGTAATGGATTGTCACTGATGGAAATTAAGGATGGCTTCAATATGTCTCACCAAATAATTCAGTTTGAACAAAACCAAAGGTCACTCGGTTACAAATTGTGAAGACGAGGTGGGAGTGATTTCTGAAGTAAAGATCACTGGCCTTTCTCAATTATGTGATCACAACAACTTGCCTTACTCATTCACTTCATACAGGCACATACAATCACTTATGAACGATTGAATGTTCAACAACCCATGCATTCACCCACTCACTCAAACTCTGATTCATTCACACTAACGTGTGGCCTAGCTCACAGGGACATACACCTGGACATTCACACCCTCTCTGATACACCTGGATATTCACACCCTCTCTGATACACCTGGACATTCACACCCTCTCTGATACACCTGGTGTTCACTACCTCTCTGATACACCTGGACATTCACACCCTCTCTGATACACCTGGACAATCACATCCTCTGATACACTCCGACATTTACATCCTCTCTGATACACCTGGATATTCACACCTCTGATACACCAGGATATTCACACCCCTGATACACCTGGACATTCACACCTTCTCTGATATGCCTGGACATTCACTCCCTCTCTGATACACCTGGACATTCACACCGTCTCTGATACACCTGGACATTCACACCGTCTCTGATACACCTGGACGTTCACACCTTCTCTGATACACCTGGACATTCACACCTTCTCTGATATGCCTGGACATTCACTCCCTCTCTGATACACCTGGACATTCACTCCCTCTCTGATACACCTGGACATTCACACCGTCTGATACACCTGGACATCCGCACCCTCTCTGATACACCAGGACATTCACACCTTCTCTGATACACCTGCACATTCACATCCTCTCTGATACACCTAGACATTCACACCATTATGAATGATTGAATGTTCAACTACCCATGCATCCAATCACTCACTCAAACGACCTGTGAAGATCCAGGGTAGAATAGGTCTTCAGCAACCCATGCTTGCCACAAAGGGCGACTAACGGGATAGGGTGGTCAGGCTTGCTGACTTGGTTGACACGTGTCATCGGTTCCCAATTGCGCAGATCGATGCTCATGCTGTTGATCACTGGATTGTCTGGTCCAGACTTGAATATTTACAGACCGCCGCCATATAGCTGGAATATTGCTGAGTGCGGCGTAAAACTAAACTCACTCACTCAAACTCATTCATTCACACTAGTGTGTGGCCTAGCTAACAGGGGCATTCACATGGACATTCACACCCTCTCTGATACACCTGGACATTCACACCCTCTCTGATACCCCTGGATATTCACATCCTCTCTGATACACCTGGATATTCACACCCTCTCTGATACACCTGGATATTCACATCCTCTCTGATACACCTGGATATTCACATCCTCTCTGATACACCTGGACATTTACACCCTCTCCGATACACCTGGATATTCACACCCTCTCTGATACACCTGGATATTCACACCCTCTCTGATACACCTGGACATTCACAAAATGCTTCAATTTGTTAAACAAATTACATATCTGCCGTAAGTGCATACTTTTTGTCAACTTTAATATATTATTCTTCATATAAAAGTTACTAGGAAATATTATTTCTGATTAATGTTCCATTAGTAAACTCATAGGAGCTCAATATTCCTGTATGGACAACGCTGGAATACCAATTACTGTGCATGTTATTAATGCTTTTGTAAAGAAGTACCAGAATTAAGTTAATGTTTGTATAATCACACTAACACACAGGTATGGTATAATACATGACACGGGTACCTTAGTAACGCCACTGAGAGAACGTACGTAACAGTAATGTCACGGTGAAAACTTCCGTGACGGTAACGTCACTGTCAGAACTTCACAGCGTCGACTGAAATTTGGAAGCGATTGATTACTATCATCAATGTTACAAATAGAAACGAAGTAATTACTTAGTACAACCGGCTTTTCATCATCAGTAAATACTGTGAGGCTTTTCTAAATCCGTGCAGAGAAGGGGATACATATTGGGGAATTTGAATCTTTGATAACATCTTAATCGTTTTCATTAAATGGTAGTGTTGAATCTAGATGTGTTTCTGGACATACAAGTTTTCTTTTATCATATTTTATTTTTATACTATTATTATTTGTGTCTTTGCTTTTTGTAAGTGGGGAAATAGATCATTTAAAAAGTTTGTTGGTCTCTTTCCTGTAACGGTCCCTAGAACAACGCTCCTTTCTGTGATCATTATTGAACCATGGTTTGTCCGATCCAAAGGCGGATATTTGGGGGGCATATCCTCATACATGAAATCATTTAATTGGGCGTGACATTTCTCATTTACGTTCATTACATAGTGTGTTCCAAGTATTATGGCTGATTAGCATATACAATGTTTCGAAGTTATTCTGGTCTCTTGCATCTTTTCATTAACACATACATCACTCTGTGGTCCGATACATGGAACTGAAATCGTACACCTGGTAGGTAACAACTACAATCAGATTATTTAATAAAATATGATCGAAAGGTTTAGCAGAATGTGTTGCTATTCGGGTTGCTTCTTTTATCTTTTAAGTTCTTTCCTGTTATTATGTCCAGTGAGCGAAATAGTTTCCAAATTTTGCTAGCCAGTCGTGCTAGCTATGCCTGAAAGTTACTAGCCCACAAAATAATTCACTATCCGAAATTTGAATGTAGAAACTAAGCGAAAGATTACAAAAATAGATGAGAATAATATATAGTCGGCATGACACGGGTGTCATCATTAATGTGATGAACATTTTCATCAGGCCATAATCGTGCATGATTTAAAAGTATATTATAACTTAAAAAGTCGGAGAGAGTGATATATTTACAAAATGACCCCATGAAAATCAAGCCAGTGACTGTGGAGATTTACTGGCCCGACTGGATTTTTACTAGCTACCGGTTAGCGGGCCAGTGGCTATTTCGCCCACTTACTATGTCACGCTGTACGCAGGAAATGAAGACAATGTTTTCATAAATAGGTCATATATCAAAATTACACATACATCTACTCGCAAAGCATACGTGTTAGGGATTCATTCATTGATTCGTTTTTTAGTATACCCCGTATACACCAATATAATGATCTTGACATAACTCCCCGCTCATGCAGTTTATACGAGAAATGGTGTTCCCGCGATAAGGGTATGTCGCCCAAACACGACCTAGGGGATTCCCCTTACCATCGGCGTGGCGAAATGTTCAACGAGATCCTCTTTAAACAAAACCGGAAAAGTGCCCGATTAGTTCCGAATGTCGTTTTCGCAACTAACGTGCGCATATGAGTTGCGCAGTTCATCATGGCGGCCAGTACAAACTGAGAGACATGTCAGCACAAGTTTCCTGTTGTACTGTTGAGCTTCGGGGATATATTCGGTGTCAGGTTTTCATCCCACTGTTAGTGTTGTGATAAGAAGAGTGAAGGTGAGATGGATTAAGTTCAAGGGGCCTTCCTGTAATTGACACGATTGTGTTAGCTGCGTGGAATGGTTCCTGGAAATATTCTTTGAGTTTTAGATCGGTGAACGTGAGCTTCACTGCCAATGTGGTGTGACTGTCACAGCATATGCCATTGGCATTTATGCGTTCTGTATGTGTTTTTCTCCCCGTGATAATAAATTCGTCACTTTTTAAGTTGTATGCTGTGTGAAGTTTGGATAAAGGTCAGTTCGTCTGTTAAGAGTTGTGACCACTGACGAATTATTTCTTCTTATTTGCAATCATCTAAGCTTATTAATAAATTAGCCGTAGTATACAATCTGCATATCAGCAATCAAAAGTATTTAAATGTTAAATCTTAACATTAGACATTAGTTAGGACAAGGGTCACTTTGAAATTCAGTATGTTCAGTTTCCATAGATTAACCAGTGTTTTAGATTGCTGCATTCTGGGAGGACTTGTTCATCCAAAACGTCCTCAACACTTTTAAAATTAAACTTGATTGTGATGTGGCAGAATGCCCCATCAAAAGTTCATACAATCATTAAAATGTCTTTTGTCCCTCACAGTATCACTTTGAACAGATATAAATGTATTATGTTGACAAAATTTATGGATAACAACTTCTGACAACTTCTCATTTTTTGTTAGTGTGATGTTTGGATATTGTTATCCATAAAGTTTGTCAATATTGTACTTCCCACCTTGTAAAATACCCTTCAAAGAATTCATAATTGTATTATGCAAGCTTATAGCTCTAATATAATGGTCAAGTGGTTGGTGAAGTCACAAACTGGTGTCACCAATGCAGTCATGTAAACAAGTGCTTCAACTAAACAGTTATCAATTACTTATCAAAGGTTGGTTAGTGGATATCTAGTAGCAAGTTTTCAGGTACTGTTTGTGAGGCATACTCTTGAAATATTTGGTTATTTCTTCTAAATGACGTGTTTGATGGATAATCTTTAAAGATTTTAGAGTAAGTACCAGTTTCTAGCCTCAGTCAGCATGGTCAGTGTATAGCGACTATTATACAGACAGGGGTGTCATACCGTTTTTACAAACATGTTCAAGAATTCTATTATCCTAGGGGTCAGTGTGTAATGTTTCTTTATTAACCACTTTTTCTTAATCCTGTTGAGTTCCATTTAGTATTTTTAGAAAAAGGAATTGGACATGACTGCCATCATAAGAAACCGTGATTGTCAAATGGCATCAGTAATATTCAGCTTTCATGCATTTCTAGTGTGACCTGACCCATGAAGGTCCGGGTTACAATATTGATCTTCAGTAACCCATGCTTGTTGTAAGAGGCGACAAACGGGATCGGGTGGTCAGCATCGCTGCCTTGGTTGACACATGTCATCGGTTCCCAATTGCGCAGATCGATGCTCATGCTTTTGATCACTGGATTGTTTGGTCCAGACTCGATTATTTACAGATCGCCGCCATATAGCTGGATTACTGCTGAGTGCGTCGTAAAACTAAACTCACTCACTTTAGTGTGACCTCATTTCAACTTCTGATGTATCAATAACATTACAATGCCATCAGCAATGGCATGTGGAAGACAAAAAGTGTCGCAATAACATTTGAAGGGATGATAGCAATGCTGTCAGGATGATACCAAAAAGAAATGTGTGCGTATGGAGTGATCTTTGCATGTGCGATTTGTATGAACTTGACTATTTCTAACCCTGTGAGTAATAAACTTGATGAATAGTTTATACGCAGGTGATATTGACACTGTGTAAAACAATAAACTCACACCTTGCCAGTGGTAATGTTTGTTAAACTGTCAGTTATGTTATTTACAGTCAAGCGTTTATGGATCATTCCTTGTCACCTCAGGTGTGTGTAGTCTGTCAGAACAAAATATACGGGATCTACAGATCACTTTTTTGACTTTCTAAATTTCTTTTCTTTTATGACCATTCTAAAATCAGCATTGGAATTGTTTTGAATAATTACCAAATAAGTAAGTGTCAAACGTTTTCTCTCATATATTTATGTCTTTCTGTCAGGTTCATGTCAAATTTGTGAGATGTTTGGAAATCAATCAAGACTACCATGCATATAACTGGTAGATTGTAACATGGTTAATGACAGATACCCAGTGAAGCATAATGTTTGTAACATTCATATATAGGCCATGCTTCCAAATACCAGAAGATCATTGCATGTTGTTCCTGTCAGTTTGTTTCACTTTATCTTGGGGTCCGGTGGGGTGGCCTAGTGGTTAAAACATTCACTCCTAACCCTGAAGGCCTGGAATCGATTCCCAAGATGGGTACAATGTGTGTGCTCGAATATTACTAAAACTGGCGTAAAACCAAACTCACTCATTCACTCACTTTATTTTTGAGATATAAAAGTAAAATGTTCAATCAACAGTCACGGTTTTAAAACAAGTGAGACCAACTATTACCATTTTTCAGGAGTAACAGTTATCATGATTTTACAAATCTTTACATAATGTTAGATATACAGCAAATGATATATGAGGATTTAGGGAAAACAAAGAGAAATGATATTGGTTTCAGTTCTAGCTCAGCACCATCACTAATACTTTGCCTTCGGCTCATTAAGATTTATCTCCAGATACAAGCTCAACCCGACAAAAATACTAGAATCTGTACTTTACTGAGAAAGTGTAGTCCCAAGTATGACATGTCTATAGTTTAACTGTCAAATTATGAGGACTAAGTATTCCCCTCTCTCCAGCCATGCATTAACTGTAGACACATCCAGTGTATCATGTATCAACAATAACAATTCACATTTTGTTGTTTAGATTTTAGTTACACTCATACAGAATAAAGGTGATAGGCAGTGGGAGTTTGACTCAGCACCCAAGGATAAGACCCACCCACAGCCCAGTAGCTGGCCCTGTATGTGTATAGCACCCACAGCCTAGTAGCTGGCCCTGAATCTGTATAGCACCCACAGCCCAGTAGCTGGCCCTGAATCTGTATAGCACCCACAGCCCAGTAGCTGGCCCTGAATCTGTATAGCACCCACAGCCTAGTAGCTGGCCCTGAATCTGTATAGCACCCACAGCCCAGTAACTGGCCCTGAATCTGATCTGTATAGCACCCACAGCCCAGTAGCTGGCCCTGAATCTGTATAGCACCCACAGCCCAGTAGCTGGCCCTGAATAGCACTCACAGCCCAGTAACTGGCCCTGAATCTGTATAGCACCCACAGCCCAGTAACTGGCCCAGAATCTGTATAGCACCCACAGCCCAGGAACTGGCCCTGAATCTGTATAGCACTCACAGCCCAGTAGCTGGCACTGAATCTGTATAGCACCCAGACTGGCCACAGCCCAGTAGCTGGCCCTGAATCTGTATAGCACCCACACCAGTATACCAGCTACTGTTCATTCCACTCTTGTCAATCAAATTGTAATTAGCCTTTTGTGACTGTAAGCCTTTGGTGACTAACTCCCCTCTAAAACCATCATGCCATTTGGAAGATTTGGAAGATCGGAACCTTAATACCATAATACTACATACTAGTCAACATTGAATTTTGAAATGTTTTCAAACTTTATTGATAACAACTTCTTTTGTTTCATGAGAGTATTGTTTTATAAAGATTCTTGTACTATTTTCAAGCAGGAATGACGATTTCCTAATTCGGTACAAGAATCTGTATTGAAATGTCACACTCACAAAATAAAAGTTGTTGTCTGTAAAGTTTGTCAATATTGTACTTCCCAACTTCTATAATGCCACTCCAAGGAACTTATTTTGAAAGACCAAACTTGTATATGTGAATTTTGCCTGAGTGTGTTTGTAGGGGGCACTATGTAATTTATGTTATTAAAGACAACTTGTAGGTACAGTAAATCTAACGCTTTGGCATGTATTCCTGATAGCATGGTTAGAGGTAGCTTACAGAAAATATGTGTTAGTCACCAAGGTCTCCCTATCTGCCAGCCTTTATGCAAACACACAGGTCAATTTCAGTTGATAAGCACAAGGTAGGATTGGTCATCAGGTTGGTCATTGTGCTGCACACAAAAGATCTAATTGACCAGTTACCTGTGTTAATAACACTCTTTGCCTCACTGCTTGCCTTATAGCTGTAAACAAATATATGCTTTGGCTACGTTTCAAGTCTCGTCGACATGATTTTGACTTTGTTGGTCGAAGCTCGTAGGAATCTCCTGAGATAGATCTATGGATTGATGCTTTTGAAAACGTGTTGTAATTCATGTATAATCATGATGTGATCACAGAAAGTAAGTTCCTTATGTTCTGCCCACACTGTTAGCCTTACTCTATCATTTTAAACATTCAGGCCTATAATGTATTATTTAAAAGTTAATATGTTTAGATATTGTTTTTTTGTACCACATTTTTGTTGGGTTGGTTTTCATTTTCATGGTAGTAGAGGGGCATGGGTTGCTAGTAATGTGCTACAGTTTTCTGTACATAGTATTGTCCCTTGGACATGGACATCACAGACAACTATACTCCCTATCAAATTTAGACTCACTAGTGTAAATGTAACCACTTACTTCAGTCAACTGTTCTAAACTAGATTTTGCAAAATATTCCATACTGTTCAAAGGATCTGTTTACACATGAACTGATGCATTGTAAAACAAAATCGTAATGTTGAAAAGATTATTGTCATGAGTTCAAAAAATGATGAAACTCAGTGAAAATTGGTGAATTCTTAACAAATCTTTACACCAAAACGCAGCTGTTCACATGCACGATATTTGCACATGCTTTTCAGCAATTCGATGCATGATCCTCATGCAATTCACCTGCATAAGGTTTGCAGTTGGTTCCCCTAAGTTAGTGGAGAAATTCATTTTCGATGTAACCACATATATGTACATAACATCTAGTGAATGCTTTAAGTGAGTCTAAACTATAGATGGGGAGTATGTAATCATGGACTTGAATGCAGATTCCCTCCTGATTATGTATCTGGGTTTGTCAGCACCATTCCTGATCCGTCTGGG